CAGCAGCAAGTCCAGCAGCAGCAGCAGCAGCAGCCTTCTAGTATCCTTCATCAGTCCTTCATCAGTTCCCTCAGGTCTTCAGTTCTAGTAGGATTCCAGAAGTCACGTTAGAGAGTTTTTCGGTGCGATTCTGTAGCCGGTTCGTCCTTCCGTGCCTTGCTGGTTTGGTGCCGGGAGGTGCTTTTGATACACTTCTGTCAGCAGCAGCAGCAGCAGCAGCAGCAACAGCAGCAGCAGCAGCAGGAGCAACGGCAGCAGCACGTCCAGCAGCAGCAGTAGCGGCAACGGCAGCAGCCTAGTATCCATCAGTTCCCTCATGTCTTCAGTTCTAGTAGGATTCCAGAAGTCACGTTAGAGAGTTTTTCGGTGCGATTCTGTAGCCTGTTCGTCTTTCCGTGCCCTGCTGTTTTGGTGCCGGGAGGTGCTTTTGATACACTTCTGTCAGCAGCAGCAGCAGCTTTTGGTATATTTCTGTCAGCAGCAGCAGTAAGAACAGCAGCAGCAGCAGCAGTAAGAGCAGCGGCAGTGGCAGTAGCAGCGGCAGCTGCAAGTCCAGCAGCAGCAGCAGTAGCAGCGGCAACGGCAGCAGCCTTCTAGTCTCCTTCATCAGTTCCCTCAGGTCTTCAGTTCTAGTAGGATTCCAGAAGTTAGGATTTCAGAAGGGACGTTAGGGACTTTTTTAATGCGATTCGGCGTCATTTCCGGTACGAAATTAGGTGTTTTTGGGTGCGATTCTGTGGCCTGGTCGTCCTTCCGTGCCTTGCTGTTTTGGTGCCGGGAGGTGCTTTTGGTACACTTCTGTTAGCGGCAGCACCAGCAGCAGCAGCAGTAGCAGCAACGGCAGCAGCCGTCTAGTATCCTTCATCAGTTCCCTCAGGTCTTCAGTTCTAGTAGGATTCCAGAAGTCACGTTAGAGAGTTTTTCGGTGCGATTCTGTGGCCTGTTCGTCCTTCCGTGCCCTGCTGTTTTGGTGCCGGGAGGTGCTTTTGGTACATTTCTGTCAGCAGCAGCAGCAGCAGCAGCAGCAAGAGCAGCGGCAGTAGCAAGTCCAGCAGCAGCAGCAGTAGCAGCGGCAACGGCAGCAGCCTTCTAGTCTCCTTCATCAGTTCCCTCAGGTCTTCAGTTCTAGTAGGATTCCAGAAGTCACGTTAGAGAGTTTTTCGGTGCGATTCTGTGGCCTGTTCGTCCTTCCGTGCCCTGCTGTTTTGGTGCCGGGAGGTGCTTTTGGTATACTTCTGTCAGCAGTAGCAGCGGCAGCAGCAGCGCCAGCAGCAGCAGCAGGAGCATCGGCAGCAGCAAGTCCAGCAGCAGCAGCAGCGGCAACGGCAGCAGCCTAGTATCCATCAGTTCCCTCAGGTCTTCAGTTCTAGTAGGATTCCAGATGTCACGTTAGAGAGTTTTTCGGTGCGATTCTGTAGCCTGTTCGTCCTTCCGTGCCTTGCTGTTTTGGTGCCGGGAGGTGCTTTTGATACACTTCTGTCAGCGGTAGCACCAGCAGCAGCAGCAGCAACGGCAGCAGCCGTCTAGTATCCTTCATCAGTTCCCTCAGGTCTTCAGTTCTAGTAGGATTCCAGAAGTCACGTTAGAGAGTTTTTCGGTGCGATTCTGTGGCCTGTTCGTCCTTCCGTGCCCTGCTGTTTTGGTGCCGGGAGGTGCTTTTGGTATACTTCTGTCAGCAGTAGCAGCGGCAGCAGCAGCGCCAGCAGCAGCAGCAGGAGCAACGGCAGCAGCAAGTCCAGCAGCAGCAGCTGCGGCAACGGCAGCTGCCTTCTAACAGTTCCCTCAAGTCTTCAATTCTATAGTAGGATTCCAGAAGTCACGTTCGAAAGTATTTCGGTGCGATTCTGTAGCCTGTTCGTTCTTCCGTGCCTTGCTGGTTTGGTGCAGGGAGGTGTTTTTGGTACACTTCTGTCAGCAGCAGCAGTAAGAACAGCAGCGGCAACAGCAGTAAGAGCAGCGGCAGTGGCAGTAGCAGCGGCAGCAGCAAGTCCAGCAGCAGCGGCAGTGGCAACGGCAGCAGCTTTCTAGTGTCCTTCATCAGTTAGTTCCCTCAGGTCTTCAGTTCTAGTCTAGGATTCCAGAAGTCACGTTAGAGAGTTTTTTGGTGCGATTCTGTGGCCTGTTCGTCCTTCCGTGCCTTGCTATTTTGGTGCCGGGAGGTGCTTTTGGTACACTTCTGTCAGCAGCAGCAGTAAGAACAGCAGCAGCCGTCTAGTATCCTTCATCAGCTCCCTCAAGTCTTCAGTTCTCATAGGATTCCAGAAGTCACGTTAGAGAGTTTTTTGGTGCGATTCTGTGACCTGTTCGTCCTTTCGTGCCTTTCTGTTTTGATGCCGGGAGGTGCTTTTCGTACTCTTCTGTCAGCGGCAGCATTAGCAGCAGCAGCAGCAACGGCAGCAGCCGTCTAGTATCCTTCATCAGTTCCCCCAGGTCTTCAGTTCTAGTAGGATTCCAGAAGTCACGTTAGAGAGTTTTTCGGTGCGATTCTGTAGCCTGTTCGTCGTTCCGTGCCTTGCTGGTTTGGTGCCAGGAGGTGCTTTTGGTACACTTCTGTCAGCAGCAGCAGCAGCAGCAGCAGCAGCAGCAAGAGCAGCGGCAGTGGCAGTAGCAGCGGCAGCAGCAAGTCCAGCAGCAGCAGCAGCAGCGGCAGCGGCAACGGCAGCAGCCTTCTAGTATCCTTCATCAGTTCCCTCAGGCCTTCAGTTCTAGTAGGATTCCAGAAGTCACGTTAGAGAGTTTTTCGGTGCGATTCTGTAGCCTGTTCGTCCTTCCGTGCCTTGCTGTTTTGCTGTCGGCAGGTGCTTCTTTTGCTCTTCTGTCAGGATGTGTTCCATTTTGTTCGACGGCACGTGCGGCCATTCGGTTGCTTATGCTTGATTTGAATTCGTCCTGACTTTATGGTACTTTGGACAGAAGTTCCACAAGTAGGGCATGCATGCGAATAACGCTGCGTGGGCAATATGGGCCGGAGTAGCCCATCATGTACGCGAAATTGTTTCCCACAAATGCGTCGGTGGTCGATGTGTCCGGAAGCAATTGGAGTTGTAATTAAATCGTGGCAAAAAGGACACGTGTACACATAAAGCCGCTGCTGTGGTGCATCGTGGCCATAGATATCCCCGGTGGCCCCCAAACGATTTGCCATTTGGTTACCAAATAACTTGGAGTTATGGTGGATACATCTATAGTCAGATGGGATTATAAATCAACATATAACGGAAGGGGGTCCTGCGTACCTGTAAGCAAGCTATCAATCCAGCCGGTTTACCACGCCCGGTCCACCAAATCTTCTTCCAAAGTGACCACCCGGCCTTTTCCTCTTTCTATGTATAATAATAGGGCCCATATATATATATATACATATATATATATATAATATCCATACTATTGTAGCAAGCGCCTCGAAAAGGCAAGGTGGGGGGTCAAAGAAACAAGGTGGAGGATCAAAAAATCGAGGTCCAATTTTTCCGGGGTCGGCGGCAGGGGCGGCAGCCCTTAAATATATATAATTATTTATATATATATATATATATATCGAGTTATCCGTATATCACAGTACATGTACAGTCCAGTAATGGTCTCTTTCTTTCTTATGAGTGTAGGGGCCCCCGCTGATTGGACCATGACATACCATGACCCATCATGACCCTGAAGAGAGTGTTTGAAGATGATGTCCTGATGTTTCTATGTTCCATGGATGGTCTTCGGTCGTTTATTCTTCATGCTTCTGTTGATGGAATCAATGTCTGACAAAGGAAAAGAACCCAGGAATCCAAATCTGGGAAACTTTCATGGTTTGTAAGATTAGGTAACATCCCTTTAACATCCGTTTAACATCCGTTTAAAATCCTGTGGATATTGTGACATTTTAGTGACCTCGAAGTCCGCTCCTGGAGCTACGGCCTTTGTGAGCACAGGATGTCGAGCTGCTTCACTGATTCCAGTCACTGCAGTCCATGTTCCTTAGACTATACTTGGAACATCTTGGATCGACAGTCGATGACAACGTGGATCGACAACCTTGCAGAACTTGGACAGGTAACTGCTACCCTGTGCTGAAACTCGAAGAAAAGCTGATTGCTTTCTGCTTCCGTGGTGGATTGTAGGAGTTTGACAGACTCTTGTTTCAATGCAGAATGCCAAGATGTGCCAAGGTGGACACAAAAGCGATCAAGAATTCTTGGGTTGCCAAGAAGCTAGCATGCCGTGGCTGGAGTGTGGGTAGTCGGCAGAAGTGACCGAGCATCATGGCTAATTGAATCAAATCGATCTGATTTGAGTGTTGTGATGTGATATGATTTTTTGGACCAAAAGCTGCATTCCGCCTGACTCTGCAATGCGTTAGGGTATGTTAGGGTCCGCACCCTCTTGCAGTTCAAATAAGGAGCAACTGTGGACTAATTGCTGACGTTTGAAGGACAACTGTACAGCTAAGTCCAAATTTCTCGAATTCCCATGATAGTCAGAGAAAAAACCAGCAGATACCAGCGATCTTTGGACGGCTGTCGCCTGGACTGACTGCCTTGTTTCGAGCACAAAAGCTTTGGCACCGTGTTGCTAAGGTAGAATTCATTGATATTCATTGCATTTCCATGCATGTTCCATCCACATTGCAGCAGTGCTCATGGCTAGGTCATCAAAAAATAAAGGTAGCTTCAGACGTTCAACAAATATCCCAAAAGCAACAAAAAAACTTCACAAATATATTGCATTATATTGCACTTATGTGAAGCAGGCCTCAAAAGCTGATTGAAAGTGTTCTCATTGGGTTTAACTGCTGGAATGATGGTGGTCTCCACAAAGGCCTTTGCCATCCTCAGGTCGGCTGTGACACGATATTGCGACAGGTGAACCTGGTCAATTTGGCCAAAGTGGAGCCCTAACTACTCCAAAGCATTCCAAAGCTGTATCTTTTGTACAAGTAGTTTCAATAGCTCTGCAGGGTTTTGCAACGTGGATAAGAGCCCCTGATGAATTTTGAAACGACGCAAAAATCCAGCTCATCCAGCTCCTGGGCATCCATGCGAGAAGCGAGAGCGGGGCGAGGATGCAAATTCTGTCATGACCTCAATGGCAGTCAAACCCCACAGCCGCCGCGGCATGTCGCGGCATGTTGGTACCAACAGCTGGGAATGGCTGCAGCCAACCTTGTTGAAATCGCGAATGTCCGGCGTCTCCCCTGTGCACCAAAAAAGCAGATTCATACGGCAGGATCTCCCTGCCATCACCAGACTTTGATCTGATACTGTATGCTCTGATGACCAATTTCGATTGTAAGATGCAGTCTGCACATATTATGTATTTATATTGTATTATATTATATTATATTATATTATATTATATTGTATTGTATTATGTGATGTTATGTCATGTCATGTCATGTCATGTTATATTATGTTATATTATATTATATTATATTGTATGTGTTGTATTATATATTATATATATACATATATATTACATACTATATATATATTGTGTATTATACCATACATATTATATTATGTATATAATGTACAATACATGTGATATATAATATATAATTAATATATGTGATATATACTATATATTTAATATATGTGATATATAATATATATATATAATTAATATATGGTATATAATACGTATACACTGCATATATAAAATATCAATACAGTAACCATATCAATCAGATTTGACCATGCTGCGTTGGCCAGAAGGTCGGCGCCTGCAGCCTTCAAGGCCTCCAGATCCGCCAGGGCATCTCCAGTCGCCTGCCAGACATCTCCTACGACGACGACCACAACTGGTTGGGATGATGATTCCCAACTGAGGAAAGTCATAAAATTCCATGGTTCCAAACCACCAACCAAAAACTATATGGCCTGATTGCCTGAAAGAGTAAAAATAGGTGATGGCGAATGATTACTATAGTGCTTTTAATATGTGTTTATTGCGAGTTTGCACCTGGTACATGTTCGTGTCACATCGCTGCTGTGCCTTCGCTGCCTTGGCTTCTGCATTGACCTTTGACCTCCTGGGATGAGATCGATATGATCCTGTGGAGTGAATTAGTGCGTCAGGAAATATTCAAACCACAAGACCATTGGACTTAGAAGCTCTAAGAAATAAAAGTGCTTACTTGAATGTACGTGCGCACAGACTTGAAGGGCAGTTGATCAGTTGAAAGACCTACCATTGCAAGCAGGGGTTTAAAAATCATGCAAGAACAAACACGTCAACGACAAAGTTTCATCTGTACAGAACCTGGATGCCAGGCAATGCCAGATAATGCCAGGCATGAAACAATGGAGTCTCTCCCGCCCTGGACCTACTCCCCTCATCAGCCTTTTTTTGGGCTTTGGTTCTTCTTTTTCGGTGGAAGCCCCTTCTGCTTCAGCCTCACATGATTGGCTCAGCCGCACAAGAAAATCCTCTATGCCTAACATTGTCTGCCAATGCCTCCCTCTAACACCGAAGCCACTTCTTAGCCTCCTCAGCTTCCAAGCTCACTTCAAAGCCTCGATAGGTTGGCAATTGATGTTCACCAACACTGGTTTTCCTGAATCTGATTTCTTTCAGTTGATGCCAATCCATCAAAAAACAAATTCTATAATTGGTGGGAGTCGTTGTGAGGCCAAAGACGGAACCATACGGAGCAGCCTCTCTGCGGTTAGACTTAGCTGCTTTGAAGTCAGTAGAAGCATCAATGATTCACTGCAATATGACCTATTTTGGTGAACAAAAAATACATCTCAAACGGATATGATACAGTTAATGTGGTAAAAACATGTAAAAACAATCATAAACCATCCCCCAGTCATCACCATGAATAAGTGGTATAAACCATTCCCAGTCATGGGTGATTTATCATTGTTTTACCCACATCAAAAAACATGTTATCTCAGACCTGACATGAATTGCCCGTGCACCTTCCGTCGCCAGGTGAACAAAACATGAAACAAAAAACGGGGCACACCTCGCTGCAGGGAATAGTCCATCCACTTGGCCATTTCCTCATCTTCACCCGCCTGTCCCATGGCTTTTGGGGAGATATGGAGGAATCGAAAAAACGGGGGCCATGGCTTTTGGTGTATTTTTTTTTAAATGTGTTTTTAAAATATGTTTTTTTCCACCAAATATCGAGGTTTCCCAGTTTCCCATCGCCCAATTCTGCGACTGCTGTAGAATCCAGAGAAGGTCTGGGAAGAAAGGGATCGACCGAATTGACCAACATCACTATATCTTTGACCTTGGTAAAATCACATGGGAAGACCTGCACACTGCACCTGTTGACTCATGGGTGCCACTGCGATAAACCAATACTGCTTTCTATGCCAGCCCTTCGGCTGTTCCTGCCACACCGGTGTCCACTTTTGTTTTCTGAAACTAGCAGTTTCTTTCGGCATAAAGTCAGGATGTTGCATAGTGCTGCAGTTCCCCTGGCCTTTTCGAAGCACTGCAAGGCTGGCAGCATCATCTCTGTCCAAGACTTCCTGTCAAGGTGCAGTGGTTTTGCTTGCACAGTCTGATCCTCCGTCTCATGTTAGTTCCAATCAAGATCTTGTGGGTCTTGTTCTGCACTGTATTCAATCTATTTCAATCTGAGCTTGGGGAAACATATGGAAAAAAAACACCACATTCCTCATTTGAGTCAGCTTTTAAGTCAGCTGCTGTCACCCTTCTGGGAACTTCCTTTATCACTCTATGAATCCACGGCGAAGATCGGCGAAGCACCTGCGCATGCCGTGGAATTTCCTCAACTGGACCTCTTGCAAGAACCTGGGCCACTGGGGCTGTTGTCTTTGGTTAGGAACTCTGAGAAAATGGTTACTATATGGTGACTTATCGTTCTGGAAAACTCTGAGATTCAACCTCAATCTCCATGAAAATCCAAGCCACTCTTACCTCTCCACATCGAAAAAGCCGAATCGCAAAACGCCCAACCGCAACATCAGAACACATGACACGCGCTGTCACATTGACCTATCCTAATTTATTGCCAAATACTTGCGATTGATCTGTCAACTCATTAGCAGTAGCCCCGTTCCATCTCATGGTGAAAAAAAACATCCGTTTTCCCATGAAAATTCTTGGACAAGCCCGTTGGTTGCATAGTCCATTGTATGCTGCTGTATTATCATTATTATTATCGTATATTGTAATATATTATTGTCATATATATGATATGATCAATATTGCTCTCCGAACCAAAAATCTGGGTTCCCAGGCTCTTTGGTCCTCTCGACATCTCCCTTCAAGGCAAAGCCCTTGACCAGTGCAGCGTAGCTGCGGAAACCAGGCCTGATACAGCGTCGGAAAGACCCAGACGCTTCCTAGAAGTGATTGTGACAATCTGAAGATAGTGTGCATAATATATGACAATGTTCATATACTTCTATGTTAGTATCAAGTAAGTAACTTAATAATATGTATGTATATACAGTGTGTGTATATATATATCATGTAGAAATATTATAATGTAAATAATTGTATATATATATATATATATAACCCTGTCGGTCCAAGTCCTCGCTAAACTAGGCCTTTGCTAAAGGCCTGGTTAAACATGGTCAAACTAGGCCTTTAGGACTGGGGTTTTCTCTATGTGATTATTTTTGAGGTCGTATTTTTGTGAGACTTAGCCGAGCAAGGTCCCACCCCCAAAGATATCCAATGCTTGAAAAATTTAGGGCGCAACTTCGAGATTTACGAAAATAGTGACACCGTGAAAAAAACCGTGAAAAGGCCATGAAAAGGCCAGTGAAAACCCCGTGAAAAGGCTGTGAAAAAACATCAAAATCAGGTTTGTGCAAAAAATGCAAAAAGAATGGTTTTGCAATTTTGTGACCAATTTTTCTCATGAGTGCTCCCGCTCTATGTGGCTGCTGCTGATCTTACGGTGCGGAAATTTGTTTTTTTCAAGGTATGAGTTTTTTGAGGCCTTTAGTCATTTAGGTCCTTTACTCTAACGGCCGCGTTAAACTCGTCCTTTGGACTGACTGTATATATTGTGTATATTAAATGTATATATATATTCCTGATATGTCCGAATATATTATATCATGGTATTATGTCTATGACAAAACATCTTTGAATCCCATCTGCTCACCTTGCTTGAATGGGAAGAATTTGAATCGAACAATTCAGGTCGCCTTATACATGCATCACAACTCAATACCAAGGGGATCTTCGATGGTTTTGGGAGGAGCATGTTCGCATTTTCATGCAGGACACAGCCCCGAAAAGTGAGAGGTTTGACGTGGAAGCAGAAGCTCAAGCAGAAGCCCCAGACGTAATCACGAGCTGAAGATGGTACTCCAAGAGCTGACTCTGGATATATCAAGGATCTATCCAGGAGCTGCGGCAGCTAGTCGTAATGATTGCTTTCTGCAAATCCGATTGTATCGAAATTGTATCAAAATGTCATCAATATGTCATCAATATGTCATCAATATGTCATCAATATGTCATCAATGATCATTTTGGTTCTGAATGGAACATTCATTTTGTCATTTGGCAGTTCTAAACGTTGAGGCTGATGCCTCAGCTTTGCTTTGAGCATCTCATTGAGCCAAGCTCTGGCTTTCTCCATGGATCCTTGTTGTGCCTCAGCCACGATGTTCACACGGATGGAGCTCGTCGGGTAGCGCCATCGAAACACTATAATAGTGTTATATAATATATATAACTATATATAATTATTTATATATATATATATTTGCCAACTATAATAATATAATATTTCATAGCTACAACAGGAGGGCAAAGTTTCTTTGCTGCTTGTCTAGTTTCTTCGTGTCACGTTTATTTTGCCATCAAAATTTCATCAAATCCATTGGAATCCGTGCCTTTTTGGAATCTGAGTTCCCCGGCGCGAGCTTCAATCAGGAAAGAAAAAGTCCTGCGCTGGCTGTCAACATCTGTCAACCATGGGGATCCCGATGGGATCCCATGAGATCAGAAGAAGGGCACACCACACTGCCCTCGAACTTCATCAAAACATCAAACAACAACCGGCCAAGCTGAGCCAAGCTGAGCCAAGCTGAGCCAAGCTGTCCTCTCATCCGGATATCGGCCAGCCACTAGAAGCCTGCAACTACTGTGGCAGTCAAGAGACTGCAATTGATATCAATGGTCGGCGCTGTTTGACGTCAGCCCTCTGAACAAATCCTGTCCCAAGTAGAGCAGTCCATCACTACACTGTGAGTACAAAAAGTGAATTTCAATTTTGAAGCGAAAGGAGAAGTCAGGCCAGGAATAGAGAATGTCTGAAACGATGTCCTAAATGCATCTTTAAGATGTCCCTCCCAAGCAACAATGAAGCCCGACATAGTTCTGACATCATTAGCTGTGTTTGCATGTTATGAAATTGCTCTAGTCAACCCAAGACAAAAATGTCATCTTCAACCGATTCATTGAATCACCAAAACATAATACAGCTGAACAAACTATGGAATGACCCAGAAATATCATCTCCATCTCAAATCACATTGTCGCCGCATGGATTTGAACGAGCAACCATGTTACAACTGTTGTTGCGAAGCGCTGCTTCTTTTCCATACTTCTCAAAACTAGGCAGAATCCAAGGACAGTGTCGCAAGTCCCCCACAGCCATATGACGTTCTTTGGAATTGCTTGATCTGGAGGAGAACTTGCAACCCGCATTTGAGGTTGACCAGTTGCTAACGAAAGGTGGAACAGTTATCTTTGTGATCCATTTCGTCCACTCATCAAAGCTAAAACGCTTCTGAATAGTAGACTTTTGCAACTCCCTCACCAGCAGTAAGACTGCAGAAATCCTGAACAAAAAAAACATTGAGAGATCCACGAGCTGCGAAATCGTGGCCACTTCCATAATTCTCCACAGTCTCCACATCTAGTCAATCTGCTTCCTCGGGCATAAGTAGCTACTGGATACTGATCTGGATGCATCTTGCCTTGGGCTTTGTAAAGCGAAGGCAAACATGGAAGGGCTTCTCCCAGATGTGTGCGAGACTCCGAGATGTGTGGATAGAAGATCTATGAAGATCTCATTCAACCAGGACTGCGCATCTATGTCTTCTCAGTTCTGAATTGCAGCAGTGCTTGTTTTCTTGGCCGAAATTCATTAGGTATACAGGGAACTTGCTCCGCCGGGTTCATCACTGTCATTCTGAGCTTCCCATCCCATCAGTCGTTCAGGACTGCCATAAACATCCAACAGCGAGGACGTCAAGCGCGACGCGAACGACTCTGGGCCTGACCTTTCCAGATACCACGCCACAGGCTCTGGCCAAGCTTCCACATCTTCCATGCATTCCGAGGACATTTGAAGCCTTCCACTGGAGCAAGGCTTGCCGAAAGATTGGAGATACCCAAATATCTGCAAATCTATGCACGGAGATAGATATACATGCAAATCATGGCAAATGCTGCAAATCCACATGTAATTCTGAAATCTCTAAGTGCAGACTTGAACTCCCCCACAAGCAGAGTCATGCTTTGAATACCACTGGGGGTTCATGTACAGAAACAGGGACCAGCGCAAATTACATTCTACTCGAAGTGGTTCCAAAAAAAAAAGTTGACATAATATGTCAAAAAGATTCAAAAAGCAAATAGATGTTTCGTGGAAAAAGCAAAATCACATGACGCCAAAGAAGCCAATGGCCATAGATGCCCTCAAAGCCAGTGTCTGATGAAGACACAAACGTCTTCATCTCCTCCAGAAACCTGGGCTCTTTGCATGTTCGTGTCAGTAACTCTTGGAAAAATCATCCAAAATGAGATAATTTAGACATATTTATATCATTCTATACCCATAATGTGTGCTCAAATGTGCTCAATGTGTATGATCATCGTTCCATAGCAACAACATCCAACAACCATCAGCCCCCATCGTCCAGGCAGCCACGGTTGTAGCAGCGCGGAACGCCAAGGCCAGGCTGCGGCTGTGAGGAAACAACTCAGCCGGGCCGCACGCTTTGGCCCGAGATCCTTGGCCTTTCGTACGGCTTCCCTCTGTGAGACCAGTAACAAAGTCCGAAAACCTGGGAGATTTTGAGGTTTTGGGCGGTTTTGGCCGGTTTTGGGCATTGTTGGGGTGTAGATCATGTTGTACCTGGCAGTTTTTATGGTCCGACATACTTATAGAGTCCTATGCGTTTTTAGATGTGATATGGATGAAATGTTGTCTCTGTTTTAAAGGCTCATTTTGGAGTCCGGTCTTCGAAGTAGCTTTCCCTTGTGCTCGTGGCACTTCCAATATTTCAGACCCTCACATGTTAAAGTAGATGATATTGTCGCATGTGCTGCTCAAACAGTACCATCGGCACACTCCCAGCATGTCGCTGTGGTCAATGCTTCAAACATTCAGAAAAGTGTACAATCTGACAATCCCTATTACCCTCTGGTTATTTAACATAGCCATGGAAAATGGCCCAAGATGCATAGTTTTACATACGAGAGCGCTCGAATACATACCTCCTACACGGAGAATTTAGCCTCTTGCTCAGATGGTTTACCTATTAATAGCATGGTGATTTTCCATGGCTATGTTAGTCATAACCAGATGGTAAATATCATCATGCAGGAACTTCGAATGTGGCCTTGACATCCTCGACTAATACCTACACAACATATGTGCTATTTGTTAATATTCTGCGATCACCCTAGCAGCCTAGTTAGCCTGGTGCATCTCCCGCTATCTCCGGCCTAAAGAGCTCAAGTGTTCAGGTGTAGCTCTCGTCGAGAGCGCCAGCAGTGATTGAACCAGCACTTCCAGCTCAGGTGCTAAACAAACATTCAAAACTGGCAATAGCTCCTCAGGGGGGCTGGTGATGTCATGCTTTTCCAGAACATCACCCCGTAGATCCCGGGGAGATCAAGCGCCCCAGCATGAAATAAAGGAGGTCATGTTGAAAATCCTCATTAAATTATTAAATTCATAACAAAGGACATTTGCCAACCCCTGTCCTTGGCAACAACCTGTTGCACTTGACGAAGTTCACTGGCTCCTGACCATTTCAATGTTTGCATGGCAGAGAAGTCACATGGTAATCTTGAACACTTCGCAATCCATATCTTGGAAAAGCATGTTCAAAAGTTCTCATTGGGGATTTCACGAGATTAATTAATTTGCATGATTCAATATATTTTCTCCCTGAGTGTAAATGTACGTGGTTGAAAAATGCTTGTCTAAAAGGACAATATGAAAAAAATCTTCCAGCTACAGGTTCACACAACGGCACAGTCACAATATCCAGTCCTGACTTGTGGAGGTCAATAGCCGTGATTGCATAGAACATGCGGCACAAATAAACGTGCGGTGCCATTTGGAACTGTGTTGTCATCTGGCTGACTGCCCGTTGAAGTTCTTGCCAGCAAGACAAATCCGGTATATCACACGCGGCTAAGATCAGAAGTATATCCGCTGCCTCGTGAAAAGTTAAGCCATCTGACCGCTTCAGCAGCTCCCGTGCACCGAGGTTGAAGAGATCTTGCAAGGAGCTGTCCTGCCAAGATGACTCTCCAATCATCCTTCAACTGAAAAGCTCTGTGTAAAATTCCTGTGCATAGATGGGCATAGATAATATAGAATATTATAGAATAATATAGACATACTTAATGAATCTTAATGATCTGATACTTATAGACTTATGAATGACTTATGAATGACTCATGATTAATCATGATGAATGATGATTCATCATGATCTCGAATCCTGTCGGGATCACCTCCACCAGATTCCTGTTTGATTCTGTTTGATTATGTATTAGTGTACCCCAAAACATGAGGTATGTGAGAACATGTTGGAGGAACAACATCTATCAACATCTCATGGTCAGTCCTTGGGTGGTACAAAGTTTCTTTGAAATAAGAGACGCCAAAACGACGAGCAAACGCGGCTGATGGCTTTCAGACTCCAATCATCTCCAAAACATCCTGGACAGCTGCCAGAATTCGGAGACAAAAACACTGCGTGCAAATCCTCCAATCCGCAGTCACAAAATAGACACGTCTTTTTTATAGTTTTTTTTTTTTTTTTTAAGTACACCCTTATTATCGAAACTGATTTCCGAAATCCTATCACCAGTCACCATAGTCACCTCTCTTTTTGTCATTGCTGTAGTAGATTCAGCAGCTTCAAACAGCAGCTTGGGATTACTTCAAACACCGAGGTTCGTATCTGGTCATGTACCGCTTGCCAGAAGGATGGACGGTGAAGCCCACCAGAGGCTGTGGCAATGGACAGAATTGCCAGGTTTTCGTAGCTAATCCTTCAGCAGAGCGGTAGGATTAGCGTTGAATGATTTGAATGAGAAAAAATAACAATATATGTACCAAAAAGCAAGCAAAAACTACAAGGGTCAGATGATTCCAGAAGAATCGCATAATTATCCAAAGACATTTTAAGGTCTGAACGAAAACAATCAAAGGTGAAGCATCTCAATCTGGTCAAGCGTTTTGGCAAGAAGTTGCGCTGTACTGTACCAGTACGAAAAGAATCATGGGCGGCAGGACAAAGAGAAAATGAAAGAAAAAAACACGGTTCAAAGTGCAAAGCGTGTTTCATCCTTTAATTGATTATTGCTTGTTTTCGTACAAGTAACATCTTCATTGTGTGTGTGTGTGTAACATCCCTCCAAAGTCATCAGAGGCTCATGGCAATTTTCTCTTCGCACCACGAAAGAGCAGTGTCAAAAAGTTCTGGATGCATACATGAGGCTTTCCCATAGGATGCCAAAATAAATGGCAAATTCTCTCCCAAATCCGTCTCAAGGTCAAGATTTTGTCTTCGTCTTGCACGATTGATTCGTGCTACCAATTCTGGTGCAAATACATCAAAGATCTCTCCATACTCAGGGAGCCACATGGCCGCATAGGAAGAGAGGCACATGGAAATTTGTAAGATTTGAAGGTGTTGGTGTCTCATCTTCAAGCGAGCTATGGAGACCGACAGCAACTCCCTGACCAATTGCTCCATCTGAATTTGTGCATCCGTCTCCAAGGCCCTCTGGATTTTCTGCCGGTTGGTGGAAACGATCAGGGACCTTAAGATCAGGAGGAGGTGGGTCTCAGTGCCATACCTTGCGGACAGAATCGGAACTTTCTCATTGACACTGTTGCATTCCGTTGCGCTTTGCGAGTGACACTGTAATTGTATCACTTGCATAGTGCAACAGTGTCAATGAGATTCAATGAGACAGTTCCTTGTGAACTGTAGTGCAATTAGTACTTAAAGCAGAGGCAAAAGTAGGTGCGTTGTGCATTCAGAACAGGCAAATCGCAGATTAACACCGCGCATGTGTGACTCAACTGTGCAGGATACTTTGAAGTTTGAAGTCTGCCTGGCCTCATGGATCAATAAGTATCAATAAAGGTTTCATAACTTCATAGAAACGAGTTGCAAAGCTTCTTTCCTGACGTCGCGTGTAAACTGCAGCAGCAAATTCTCCAGCTCCTCAGATTCACTTCCTGCAGTGCCTTGGGAGCACTTGGAGAGCCAGTAGAACACAGCCACTTTTGCCTCGTGGCATCCGCGCTTTGATCACAAAGAATGAGAGAAAAAAAACATCGAAAAATAATGGAAAAAACAACTTCAAACATGTGAAAAATATATATAAATATGCCTGCTGCGGCATGAAGGCCTCAGGATCCTTGAAATCAATGTCCTTTGCTCTTCGCACAAAGTCCTGCAGAACATGGGGAGCTACTGCTTTGTCGGGGAATGCCGCTTCGCGTTCCACGTAGAGCGAGCGGCGCATGTCCCGCACCAGCTGCCAAGGGCGCGCGGTGGTGCTGGAGAACCGGACATGCGCAGCGCGCGTGCCAAGCGGCCAATGCTTAGCGATGGCCATTTCCGTCGTCTATCCCACAGACATGACTGTGGCAAGATCTGGCAAGATCTGGCTGTGGATGGATGATGTCGTGGTCAATTACTGACCAAATCCTCCCACTTTGACACATTTGTAGCCAAAAAGTGCTGCTGGTTAGTCCTCCATAGATGCAATGGATCAGGCTGCTAGGTGACCCTGAGACCCTAAATCCGCCTTGCGAGTCAAAGAAACAAATGCCTGCCGGACTACAACTATGATCCGGTTGGGAAACTCTTCGCCGCGTATTGGCTCCCCTTTTTTGGGGGGAAAAAAATATGGCATATGGATAGCATTGGAGACCTTTAGCATCCTTTAGCTCCTTGGCTCCCTCTTAACCACCAAATGGATAAAGAGGTACCCTCTGGTAATTTAACATAGCTATTGAAAATGGCCATTTATAGTGAGTTTTCCCATTAAAAATGGTGATTTTCCATAGTTATGTTAGTTTACCAGAGGGTAACAAGACAGTCGAACCATTCATCTTTCTTCACATGCCGAGGCCAAGTCTGACAGTCTGCAATTGAAAATATCTCCTTTTACCCAGGCCACTAGGATCCACCAGTTGCAAAAATGCCAGGACTTTTCTCTGCAACAAGATGTAACACTACACCCAAAATAATCCATAAGTGTGCAAATAAAATGTTGCACAGATGCAGCACCATTGACCATATTGACCAGAAAAAATGCCATACAATACAATCCTGAATGTGATCAGATTCTTTTGCCCAAACAACACCGTTCAAACAAAAGCGTGTCTGATGATACGAATTACCTGCTACAATGCCTACCCAAAGAGCCAGCCAGCCATTTGCCAGTCGCTTGCTGTCAATGACTTGTCTATCCATGCCTGATGATTGATCATAAAATAATATATGTGAAAAACATGGAACCATGGTAAGTCAGCCAATCCCGCTTCGGTACACTCCAAGTGTTCCAAGTCCAGCAACAATTTCGACGCATGGCCCTGGCCTTTGGTATATCTCCTCAGCCTTCTCAGGTTCATTGGCTTCTGCAAATGCACGAATGGCCTTGAAGCAAGCCAGGACCTTTCAGGACCTTTCAGGACCTTTCAGGACGCCAAATCTTTGATAGTGCATGATCAGACATATAGGTTAATTATGGTTAATTCGTTCTGCAAATTATCAAAATATGGCCTGGCTTGCAATGTTCTCGGGTTGTTCCGATTACTCGATCTGTATGAAGACAGCAACTCTAGCATGTCGCTCCAAGCCAGAATATATTGTAAGCTAGCTCTACTAGCTGCCTCAATTTGGGTGGTACAGGTCAAAGTACTTCATCACACTTTTATCTTGCACTCACTCCAAGTTGCTTTTTCCAAAGGCTACTTCTGAATTTAGATTGATGCCGCCATTGCTCAAAGTTAAATGTCAAAAAGAAGAGATCCAGCTCGTAGCATCGTGTTGGCAAACAACAAGACATCAGCTCATAGCGTCGTAGCCGTCTCACCGTCTCACCGTCGAACAGTCCAAGTTGCTATATTGTAGGAACCCCTGTGGATGGAGATGCCTTTCAGCACCATCCAATCAAGGATCTGCCTTGGACCAATTGGAGCGAAATCATTGCGATCACCAGTTCTCACCATAGATTCAACCAGGAAGTTGGACTTCTTTGTGTTCAAATGTGTGGTAATGCCTCGAAATTGAATGTGGTGCACCAAATAACTTGACAAGGCAACCTGAGGCTCAAGTCACAAGAACATAAACCAACCGATCAGCTGTTTCCAGGCACTCACCAAACCCTCTTCGCAGCTGCAGAGAAGGAACCGAACTCCAATTGGATCTCTATCAATCAGGCTTCGCATCATCAGTGATTTGTACACGCTGCTGTCTGGACCTCAAAGGACTGATGAAACATGATGAAACCATCCAAGTGGCCCCTTGTGGTAACTTGTCACTTTGAAGTCAAGGCTATATGGTGAAACCCTGAAAAACCCTGAAAAACACTGAAAAAACAAATCTTTTGCTGGAGCCAATTTTGTGGTTCCTCTCCAAGCACCGCAGCCTTTGCGAGCTGAGTGCTCGCTGAGGTTGTGGCTGAGACCACTGTCCATCATCTTGCTAAACCACTTGTCCGTGCTGTCCTAAGTTCGCGGTGGGATGTCAGGATGTCTCAGAATCCAGACACAGTTTTTAGGAGGATGTAGGAGGATGTAGGAGGATGTAGGAGGATGTAGGAGGATGTAGGAGGCATCCAGTCTTCGAGTGTCAGGGTCAGATCACCTGTGTGGGCTCAAACTCAAAGAGTCATATAGTCAAAGCCCAAACAGCAATGGTCTTGATGGTTTTGTGCGTCTGTCTTCATTACTTATGACACCTTATTGTGGCGAAGACGTTGCTGTCTCCTTGCATGCTACTAATACATCTAATACCAACACTATACATACTATACTATCTTGATCATTCTTGATCTATCTCCTGGAATCTTAGTATCTTACTTTTGTTCGCGCAGCCGCATGAGTGACTCTCAGTACAGCACGTCTCTGCTCTTCACAGAGGCTGCAATCAACTGAGCATAAGTTTCCTGCGCCCAGGTTCAACAGGCAGTACTTGTCGTGGCTGTGGCAATTCTTGTGCTAGCTGCTGGCTATTCATTGCTCAGGTAAAAAGGTAAGTACATATCAAAAAAGACGTCCACGATGACAAAAATGATTTCTTGAGTTTAGCGGGCTTGACTTCAGCAATGCAACTGGACTGAATCCAGCACCTTCAAAGAGCCCTGACGGTGTTATCTGCTGTTCATTTTCACGCTTTGAAAGATTGGTTGCTAAAATGACACCTAGCCTGGTCAGGTGTGACTCCAGCACTCAGCATCCTGAAAGACGATCGTTCGTCAGATTTTGCCAAAAAAGTAAGACCATGGAAGTCATAAATATGATACCCTCTGGTAAACTAACATAACTATGGAAAATCACAATGTTTAATGGGATAACTCACTATAAATGGCAATTTTCAATAGCTATCTTAAATTACGTCCATGGATTTCAATGATTTCACAAAGACAAATCAACCAGCGATTTGAGTCCGTTTTGAAAGTCTGCCTTTCGATGCGCGCCTTTCGTACCATTCCTCTGCCTTTTGCATTCGCTGGTTGCCCTTCACTTCACTAAAGGAGCGGATCACCAAACTCAGCGAAGAAGAGGTGCTTCAGAGGCCAGTTGAGTCGTTGCATTGGCCCAATAATAACCCTATGTCATTTATGTCCTACCATGTTCGAACCATGTTCCACCCGCGTTTTACCCATCCCATTCTGATGCACTCAGGTGTCTTGTTGCAATTTTTCTTCTCTACAATTCTCTGGCCGCCTGCGATTCCACATACTTCAAACATCTGGAGTCTACTGTGGTAGTCACTCTTGCATTAACATACATTCTTGTTGCCATAACATGCCATAACCGCCGTACTTTTGATTCATTGGACATGCAAATCTGCTCAATCTACTGAGGATTTCACTTGAAGCTCTCTGTCGTTGGAGCAATCCCAGCTTCTTCCATCTTGCTGTGCCAAAAGGCAGTCTGGCGCAGGGGTCAGCCATGCTCTGCACCGGATGAATCATAGAGATTCGGGAAAATGCCAGTACTTCAAGTAGTCAAAGTTCATGGAGATAAATTAGAATCCCAAAATATAATCAATAATTCATTACTGGTTGGTGGTTGAGCCACCCCTCTGAAAAATATGAGTTCGTCAATGGGAAGGATGACAACCCATATATGATGGAAAATCAAAAATGTTCCAAACCACCAACCGGTCATTAGATTCTTGTTTGTTTTTGTTCTATTGTTCAAGTTTCCCAGCCTGTCGATCATCATACCTGATGGGCAAATCTGTGCGGAGAAATCATAAGTCCAAGCAAGGTACAGTAGTCGATCATGTCAATCAATCAAATGGAAGTGTCCAGGATAAAGAGGCTTTGACAGCATGGATGGATTTGCAAATGTTGTCATCTCGCAAATCTTGTGTACACAAATCGGATTCCGCATTGCCAAACTATACTTGACAAGTTCAAGATAGTTCAAGTAAAGTCCCTCCCTGGAAGTTGGTTTGGCCTTTGTCAGCTACTTAGTTTTGCTCACACCGCCTATAACGACCCCAGGTGGTTTGTTCTTTTTTGCATCTTCGTCATGTCTTAATTACACCACGTTGCAAGATGTTTTGCATGTTCCAGAGATGTTATGACCTTGCAAGATGTTTTGCACCTTTCCGAGATGTGATGACGTTGCAAAATGTTTTGCACGTGTCACAACATTGTCAACAAATGACTATATGAATCCATGTGAATATTTTTTTGGTGGGGGGTGGAGGGGAGGGGGTGGGGTGAACTTTCAACTTTTTCAAGTAACTTTTAACACGCTCTTGATGCTACGCTCTGAACTTTCTCATCTTGAAGAAATATATTGCAAAGGAATTGGCGTCCAAGAATTCTGGCAATGGAGATTTGAATCAAAAGATTCGAGAGTATATTTGCAGTTTTTGTCTGGAGGTGCCGTGTGGCCAAGGATGTGAGGTTGAAACAACTTGGCACGTTGGCAAAGCCTTGCAAGTGAAAAACATCACCACAAATGGTTTGGTTTGATACATGGGGACCCAAACAAACATTTCGACCATTGTAAAATCATCAAAACGATTCAAGAGTCATGCACATAACTCACATAACATTCAACATGTAGGTCAGGTCAAAACGCTAAGGTCACAAAAGCCTGGAAAGGTTGCAAAAGCTGCTGAAAAAAATGTGAAACGGCGCAAGGTCAATGCGGGCGGCGTGTCTTTGTTTTTGCTGTGTTCCATAATGGAGTCTGATGGTCCTCAATATTGGGTAGTATAACCGCCTATGAGCCTATAGTTGCTTATAATGATCAACTAACAGAGGTTTTGAACACTGCTCAAGTCCATTCCGTTCAGGCACAAAATGATACAAGAAGTTCACTCAAGCGCTCCTCATCAGCATGAGGTAGGTCTCATAGTCTGCAACTGTTCCGTTCTGCTCCATCCACTCAAACCACTGCCTCGCAAACTGCACAAGTGACCCGCTCTGAAGAGCCTCCAATCTTCCGCACTTAAACGCACATATTGTAATATTACATTATTATAATATATATATATATATATATACATATAACTATATATCCGCCGACCCCGGCCTTGGCCAAGGCAGGGGCGGCGCCTGGGACCACCGCAGGTGTGGAACTTCTCCTTCTTCGCTTTCCAAGGTCAAACCCATCTCGCAGCCAGCAAGCTGCCCCACGGCCACATCGCGTAAACATTTTCCTGGCATGCTTCGTCCTCCAGTTAAGACTTCCAGGCATTTGGACATGAAAATTACATGCTTTGGGCAAGTAAGTTTTCCTCCGGAAGGTCTTGTCTGAAGGTTTTGTCTTTCAAGGCCAAAGCAGCCGTTCCCGCATTCCAGTAGTAGAAGTTCAAATCATTGACCACGCTTAAAACGCTTAAAACCCTTAAAAACCCTTAATGGGCGTGCAAGCCTGCCGTTTGCCAGCCCTTAAACGCCATCGCTTAAACATTCCCTTGGCATGCTTCATCCTGCAGCCAACAGGCACCCCAAGGCTACACATCAATAGCTTCTTATGGGCGTCCAAGCCTGCCGTTTGCCAGCCCTTAAACGCCATCGCTTAAACATTCCCTTGGCATGCTTCATCCTGCAGCCAACAGGCACCCCAAGGCTACACATCAATAGCTTCCTATGGGCGTCCAAGCCTGCCGTTTGCCAGCCCTTAAACCCCTAAAACCCTCCAAACGCTTAAAACCCTTAAAACGCTTACTTGGCATGCTTCATCCTGCAGCCAACAGGCACCCCAAGGCCACACATCAATGGCTTCTTATGGGCCGCTTAAACATTCCCTTGGCATGCTTCATCCTGCAGCCAACAGGCACCCCAAGGCTACACATCAATAGCTTCTTATGGGCGTCCAAGCCTGCCGTTTGCCAGCCCTTAAACCCTTAAAACCCTCCAAACGCTTAAAACCCTTAAAAACCTTAAAACCCTTAAAACGCTTACTTGGCATGCTTCATCCTGCAGCCAACAGCCACCCCAAGGCCACACATCAATGGCTTCTTCTGGGCGTCCAAGCCTGCCGTTTGCCAGCCCTTAAACCCTTAAAACCCTTCAAACGCTTAAAACCCTTAAAAACCTTAAAGTCCTTAAAACGCTTACTTGGTATGCTTCATCCTGCAGCCAACAGCCACCCCCAAGGCCACACATCAATGGCTTCTTATGGCATGCTTCATCCTGCAGCCAACAGGCACCCCAAGGCTACACATCAATGGCTTCTTATGGGCGTCCAAGCCTGCCGTTTGCGAGCCTTTAAACCCTTAAAACCCTTCAAACCATTAAAACCCTTAAAAACGTTAAAACCCTTAAAACGCTGACTTGGCATGCTTCATCCTGCAGCCAACAGCCACCCCAAGGCCACACATCAATGGCTTCTTATGGGCCGCTTAAACAATCCCTTGGCATGCTTCATCCTGCAGCCAACAGGCACCCCAAGGCCACACATCAATCTTCTTATGGGCGTCCAAGCCTGCTTTGCTTATCCTGGGCGTCCAAGGCATGCTTCATCCTGCAGCCAACAGCCACCCCAAGGCACACATCAATGCCTTATGGGCGTCCAAGCCTGCCGTTTGCCAGCCCTTAAACCCTTAAAACCCTCCAAACGCTTAAAACCCTTAAAAACCTTAAAACCCTTAAAACGCTGACTTGGCATGCTTCATCCTGCAGCCAACAGCCACCCCAAGGCCACACATCAATGGCTTATGGGCGTCCAAGCCTGCCGTTTGCCAGCCCTGAAACCCTTAAAACCCTTCAAACGCTTAACCCTTAAAAACCTTAAAACCCTTAAAACGCTTACTTGGCATGCTTCATCCTGCAGCCAACAGACACCCCCAAGGCCACACATCAATGGCTTCTTATGGGCCGCTTTAACAATCCCTTGGCATGCTTCATCCTGCAGCCAACAGGCACCCCAAGGCTACACCTCAATAGCTTCTTATGGGCGTCCAAGCCTGCCGTTTGCCAGCCCTTAAACCCTTAAAACCCTCCAAACGCTTAAAACCCTTAAAACCCTTAAAACGCTCACTTGGCATGCTTCATCCTGCAGCCAACAGCCACCCCAAGGCCACACATCAATGGCTTCTTAGGGGCCGCTTAAACAATCCCTTGGCATGCTTCATCCTGCAGCCAACAGGCACCCCAAGGCCACACATCAATGGCTTCTTATGGCCGCTTAAACATTCCCTTGGCATGCTTCATCCTGCAGCCAACAGGCACCCCAAGGCTACACATCAATGGCTTCTTATGGGCGTCCAAGCCTGCCGTTTGCCAGCCCTTAAACCCTTAAAACCCTTCAAACGCTTAAAACCCTTAAAAACCTTAAAACCCTTAAAACGCTTACTTGGCATGCTTCATCCTGCAGCCAACAGCCACCCCAAGGCCACACATCAATGGCTTCTTATGGGCCGCTTAAACAATCCCTTGGCATGCTTCATCCTGCAGCCAACAGGCACCCCAAGGCTACACATCAATGGCTTCTTATGGGCGTCCAAGCCTGCCGTTTGCCAGCCCTTAAACCCTTAAAACCCTTCAAACGCTTAAAACCCTTAAAAACCTTAAAACCCTTAAAACGCTGACTTGGCATGCTTCATCCTGCAGCCAACAGGCACCCCAAGGCCACACATCAATGGCTTCTTGGGCGTCCAAGCCTGCCGTTTGCCAGCCCTTAAACCCTTAAAACCCTTCCAAACGCTTAAAACCCTTAAAAACCTTAAAACCCTTAAAACGCTTACTTGGCATGCTTCATCCTGCAGCCAGCCACTTATCCCTTAAAGCGGTCCACATCAATGGCTTCTGGGCGTCCAAGCCTGCCGTTTGCCAGCCCTTAAACCCTTAAAACCCTTCAAACGCTTAAAACCCTTAAAAACCTTAAAACCCTTAAAACGCTTACTTGGCATGCTTCATCCTGCAGCCAACAGCCACCCCAAGGCCACACATCAATGGCTTCTTATGGGCCGCTTAAACAATCCCTTGGCATGCTTCATCCTGCAGCCAACAGGCACCCCAAGGCTACACATCAATGGCTTCTTATGGGCGTCCAAGCCTGCCGTTTGCCAGCCCTTAAACCCTTAAAACCCTTCAAACGCTTAAAAAAAACCTTAAAACGCATACTTGGCATGCTTCATCCTGCAGCCAACAGGCACCCCAAGGCCACACATCAATGGCTTCTTCTGGGCGTCCAAGCCTGCCGTTTGCCAGCCCTTAAACCCTTAAAACCCTCCAAACGCTTAAAACCCTTAAAAACCTTAAAACCCTTAAAACGCTTACTTGGCATGCTTCATCTTGCAGCCAACAGCCACCCCAAGGCCACACATCAATGGCTTCTTATGGGCCGCTTAAACAATCCCTTGGCATGCTTCATCCTGCAGCCAACAGGCACCCCAAGGCTACACATCAATGGCTTCTTATGGGCGTCCAAGCCTGCCGTTTGCCAGCCCTTAAACCCTTAAAACCCTCCGAACATGTTTTACTTGAGCTGTCACACGCGCGTATGGCACGGTACTGTAGTTTATATAATTATGAATTCATGTGAGGGCCCCCAAAGGCCAAATCAATTCTCTTAGGCGTCCAAGGTTGCCGTTTGCCAGCATTTACACAATTCAAACGATACCCCAAAGCCAGATCAATAGCTTCTTCTCGGCGTTCCAGCTTGCCGTTTACCACCTTTCTCTTTCACAACGCCGTCCTTGACAGAAAACTGCTTCCCACAGACCCTTCGATGGTCTACTTGCCCTGTCTTCACGTCACTGGCCACATTCCCTTTGCAAGCGGGGCAAATGTAAACATACGCTTTCTCCTTCACAACGCCGTCCCTCACAGAAAACTGGTTCCCACAGACCGTTCGATGGTCTATTTGCCCTGTCTTGACGTCACTGGCCCCATTCCCTTTGCAAGCGGGGCAAATGTAAAAAATGTTTTTTCCTGCACAACGCCGTCCTTGACAGAAAATTGGTTCCCACAGACCGTTCGGTTCCCACAGACCGTTCGATGGTTCCCACAGACCGTTCGATTTTCCCTGTCTTGACGTCACTGGCCACATTCCCTTTGCAAGCGGGGCAAATGTAAACATACGCTTTTTCCTGCACAACGCCGTCCTTGACAGAAAACTGGTTCCCACAGACTGTTCGATGGTCTATCTATCTATCTATCTATCTATCTATCTACCTTTCTCCCTCTATCTCTCTCTCCCTCTCTCTACAGGACCCCACAATAGTGGGGTCGGCGGCACCTGGGCGCTAGCCCATTCTATATATACATATAACTATATATAATGAAAAAGATGCTGCACGTTAACATGGTGGCAGTAGCACGGTCCGGATACGATTCAAGAAGTTGACTAAAAGTACGAAAGATGTTCACAGCATGAGGTGCTACAGTCCAGCATTGCGAGCGGCCTTGCAGAAGAAGCATTGTTTTCATCCAGGTATGCGCGCATCACCTCGGCTCTGGCAGGAGAGGCCATTCCATGCTTTCGCGCAGAACGAATTTCTAAAATGACCCCAAAAAACGACTTACCGAAGCAGAGGAATTGTCAACACGAGAGACATCAAAAGACTGCCATTCAAAAAATTATACTTCGGCTATCTTCAGCTCTTCCCCTTAAACATCCCCAAAATTAGTGCACACTCATCTGTGACCCCCCACAGCTCTATAACTCGAAGCGCTCAAAGGTTTCTGCAATTCCACAGCACGCTTCACCTCGAGAGAAAGATGAACAAAATTGAACAAAAACATCGGATATGTGATGTGGCACTGAATTTGAATTGCCATGCCATGCTCTGAATTTCCCCTTTCAGTATAAAACCCAAAAAACATCCCATGTTCCTCTGCACAACCAGGTCAAGGAACCCATTTCGCAGCATCGTCAGCGGCAATGTCACTGTTCCGTGCAATGGACTTTGCGACCTACATGAAGCCACTTTAATCATGCAAAACATACCGACAAACACACGATCTTTGAAGTACTGGCAAATGGTTCCATAGTTCAGCAGCATGATCCCGCCGGTATTTAGCAAGCATGACATTTTGATCTTTCCTTCCCCAGTCAATCAAAGCACTTGATCCTGTTTGAGGCAATTTATCCGAGACTATCAGGAAATGACAGGACAAGCGGGACAAGGACATCAGGTATGAATATCAGGTATGAATAGTTCATGCTACTCGCGAGAGTCATCCCAAAACAATCTGCTTCACTATTTCACTGAAGGCTGAGGCTTTCGCTAAATCAAACTGGAGTGTCTTGGATGTAAGAAGACCTGCAATATCTTCCGCCAAAATCACAAGCAGGCATCACTGGGGTCCAAGTGGAATCAATCTAATGTTCGATCCAACTTCAAGGAGTGAGCTGTGCAAGAAATAATGAGTTCTTCTGGCAAATCTCTCAGCTTTGTCAAGGATCAGAGCTGGATCAGAGCTGTCTTCCCACGCCTGCTTCCTCCATCTTGTTGGCCCATTTCTCGGAAAGCTTGGGTTTTCCAGCCTGGCAGGTCAAGACAGATCAAGGTTTCGACATCTTTGCTGGACAAGTTGCAGACTGGTCCAGTTTCAGTTCCGACACTACCACAGATCTCAGAGTCTACCACAAGCAACCTGAGTAAAACTCTTCGGAGAGACTGATCTATCAAATCTGTTTGTAAGACTCTACTCTGTCGTATATCTCGACCAAACGTGCGTTTGGTATCATCAGTATTATCTGAACCTTGTTATTGTCTGTGGTCATTCCTTGTCATGGAGAGTGTTGTAAAGTTGTAACTACTTAGCGCCTCCGACAGCGTGTCAGCCATGTTAGCCAAATGTTGCACATCATGTTGATCCCCAAATTCGTGATGCAGTCCCTGATCTACAGTAATTGAATCAATAGGTTCGACGGAAAATCTACTGGAAACACTGGTTTTTCCCACAAAATAAAGGCCGTCCTGCAGTTTTTCCCGGAAACCAATTTGTGGAACTAACATGGACTAACTGTATACTAATGTATACTAAGATATTACAAAGGGATGTGAAACAGATTACAACTCTTCAATGCACCATTTTTAAGATTCAGCCTTCGCCATCGTTTTGATGACCAAGTTGTAGGACTCTGCATCTGGCTTCACATCCGCCTGGCAATGGCTGCTCTGGTTTTTTATTGATCAAAATCGTTAAAATATGATGAAATATCTTGAAACGATGGTGCAGAGAAGATGCCATCATCTCATTTCGTTGTCCTTCTTCAGTTGACGCCATCATCATCGACTTTCATCTTTCATCTTGAGGTGAGGCAAGTGCCTTTTCCATACGATTGAAGAACTTCTGCGCAGTGTCCGGGTCTTTCATGTACTCGCTGCCCTGGACAACCGGAGACATCAAAACAACGGAATTATTCGAGCAACAAGACTCTGAATCGTCAACTGAGACAGCTCTGGCATGGTCGGTACATGGTTCACTTCATTGAATTCCCGACTGACATAGAAAGCCCGTGAAATCTTCGCAAGACTCCCGTCAAGCAAATCAAGAATAATAGAGATGCATGATCAGACCAAGCATGCTAAAATTCATTCGAATGCGCTAGCAAAACAAAATCGTTTGTATGATTCCATACCAAAGAGTGGCTTAGGGTGAAAACCTTGGGGCCTTTCTTCTGCAACTTTTCAGGCTGCGAGTTTGTGAACGCTGTCAAGGTCTTGATGGTTTTGACCAGCCATGGACTGCAAAATATAACAGTTAACAATTCAAACCATACAAAGTACTGCAACCTCTCCCCCTTTTTTTAGTTCCACAAGAACTCAGCCTTGAGGAGGTAGTTGTACTCATTGACTCCACATTGGTGGCCAGCTTCTTTCATTTTTTTCAACCTCAAGGATAGTTCGGAAATTCAGAATGCTCCCCTTGATGTGTAGCTGGATTGGAACTTTATTACCATCTGGTTATTTGTTACATAGCCACGGAGAAATCGCCTAATTAATAGCTAGGTAAACCGGTAAACCATCTATTTTCATGGGCCATCTATACCATGGCTATGTAAGAAATAACCAGAGGGTATCTTTATTCAATGCAGTGCTCCCAGACCGTGGCAGGTTTGCTATGGCACCCGGCCACTCGGCAGCAGCTGAAAGGTCACCATATCTGGCAGCTACCTTGGATGCGAGACCAAACGGACGTAGCTACCCGGCCTGGTAATGACTTTGCTATTGAAAATGGCCATAGAAATAGTGGATTTACCCATTGAAAATGGTGGATCTTTCCATAGTTATGTAAACGTTTACCAGAGGGTAACATTTTTCTCAGCAGCTTTGAGACACGCTGTAGATATCATATCATGCAATGTGAGTCATGCTCATAGTGCCCTAAAATGATGGAACTTGTGTACGTCTGTCTCAGTATGCACCGGACAAGCGATTTCCCCTCTGGAAACAGCGATTGCAGAAGATCGTGCGACTATCCATGTTTATATCGACGGGCTCCTTGTCTTTTGCTCAATGCCTGGTGATGAATATCACTTTAGCACGTCTTCTAACAAAACTTGACTTTGAAGCCCACATCAACTAAAGACGACTTGATATTTGTCCTGAGACTTGAAGCGCAAACACCTTGAGTTCATTGAACAACTCCTCTGCACGGCCCGGCCCGAAACAAGTGAGATAACGCTGAGTCAACTTGGACGTCCGAGCGCGAATGATGGTCTTGAAGACCTCCTTGCTCACTCTCTTTATCCCTTTGTCTTTTTTGAGACTTTTGATCCTCACGAAGCACTGTAATGGGAAAGCATTCGCTGCGGGATGCGCAGCCAACGACAGCTAGGCTGCATCTTCTGGCTAAACAATGGTGCAAGTGATGCAAATGCATTGAAGGATTGAAGAGTCAGATTCATTTTAAAAAAATAAAAACAAAAACAATTATTGTTTATAATGATGACCAAGATCACGATGTTAATGATAACAAACCATGGTTTTTGATGGGACCCCAAGACACAACCACAAAACCAGACATTCTACAGTAGGTGCAGGGACAAATGGTCAAATATTCTGCAGCTTTCATTCCAACTAATCTAATATCATAATTTATTAACTTTTATATTCATACATAAATATGGATGTGTTCCATGGACCATGGATCTTTTCCCCGTTTGAAATATGTTGAAACCTCATCACCAAGGCACACCGAAGGCGGGGCTAAGCTCTTCACCAAGACTGCTCAATGTCACGCCGCATCTCTTGCCTTCCGCTCTTGGCAACGGCCTGGCGAATATCCAGCCCGGGCTGACAAACAAACTCGCCGCCTGAAAAAGCCAACAAGGAAAATGTGTAAATCATAGAAACATACAGAAACTATATATTAATCATATGGCTACCCATATGATATCAAAATATTGATACATAATAAGTATAATATAAATATAGTATATAATTAACATTCATTGATTCATTAATTATATTGTCACTTGCTTCAAATCTGCACCTCCAGGACAGCCTCATAGATCCTTGGTGGGAGTGCATCTTGAGCCAGTTCGGAGGAACTATGGCTACACCAAGCGGAAGCGGATCAAGTCTCGTGAGTTCTACCTCCCAGGATGGCAGTGACTCATGCAGTATCTTCCGAATTCACTGATGTCAGCTTCAAATAGCCTGGAGCTAAAATACATTCAAACATATTCAAACTATTTCAAACTGATGCAGCTGCCATCTACATAATCTACTTATAACATCTTATAACTCTCAGTGCCACACTCCAGGTCTGGGTCGATGCCTTCTTCGACCATCCTTGTGGAATTTCACGGTCGCCATGCAGTTGATTGCACTTTCGAAACCCTGCATCTTTTACGCTTTTCTAATAAGATGTTGTCTATCCTGAGTTTAATCGTTTGACACAAAGGCACATTCAATCGAAAAACCATCACATTCATTTTACTCATCCATTTTGCTCGTTTTTCTGGTGCTCTTCTCGGCACGGTTATTTTACACTCTCTCACATCGCACCAGAAATCCGAGTGCTGGAAAAGTAGCCGACCAGCTTGTGTGAGCTACTAATCCCCAACGGTTATTTTACACATTCATGGATTTCTGGTGCAAACATCGACTCATCGGGTCAATTTCAAAAATGGATGGATCCACCTACTGACCCAGTTGGGGCGTTTAGCCAGCCGCACCAGCCAAGTTCGACTCCGACCGAATCGAGGGAGATCCCGGGGTCTCCTGTCCATCCATGAAACGGCTGCACCAACCTGGCAAAATGTTGGTGCAGATGGGTCAGTTACTGCACAGGGACTGTAGTCATGGCCGATTCCGCAAGGAACTGTTGTTTTTCATCTGTGATGCGCGATTGGAGTGATTGAACTCATTCGAGCAAAGGTCTTAAGAATCTTAGCACCTCCCTTTGAAGTAGGCTATGGTAGGTTTGGGACCACTGCAAGGACAAGATCCAACCAAAACAGCCAAAACATGCCGAATGTGGCGTTTTTGTCCTGGGGCATGTGCAGAAGACTCATCACCATTGTCCGATTTGGGAGTGTGTCAGTCAAAATCACTCAAAACGAGCAGTCGGACCCATCCATTCCGAGCAAAAGGGAGCGTCCTGAGCCAGGCTTCTGATGAGGAAGCCATATGCGCTTTTCGTGGGCTTCAGCTTTGCCTTGGTCGGATGTTTGCTGTCCATACCCTCTGGTAATGACTAACATAGCTATTGAAAATGGTGATTTATAGTGGATTTTCCCATTGAAAAGGTGTTTTTCTATAGTTATGTTAGTTTACCAGAGGGTATGGCTTCGGTTGGCCTGCAAACATTTGTTGCACATCGAAGAATGTGAAGACTACGAAGCGTCGCAAGCATTTGTGCATGCGAAGGCAGAGTACACGCGTTCGACGCATGCTCCACTTGGATTTAAACCTTTGAACCTCAACTCGGCAAAGGCCGAACATTCCATTTAAGGGTCTGTACAAGAATATCATGCATCTATCTAGCACCGACCACCCCTCAAAGTGCAGTTGCACCCTCTGAATAGTAGCTACAATTTAAGCCACGTCAGAACTGAATACAAACAGTTGGGAGTGGGTCAAAATCCACACATATTGTCAGCTATTTAGTGGGATGAACATCCATCAATCCCAGCTATTTTGGTGTTCACTAGGTACCAGGCTTTTGACCCATAGCCAGTTGTCCCGGCTGATCCATTTACTCGATTCTCATCGATTTATGCATAACCAGCTCCATTCACCAAACACTTCTTGAAACCCGCTTCCAGTTCCTGGCGATTGAGATTCTTGCCAATGAACGTCAGCTTGCAAATGCGCTCTTCATCTGGCTGCCAGTCCCTCTGCGGCGAACCAGTGAAAGCCATGTGAACTGCCTGGAAGACAAATTTTTGCTGCATGCCCTGGACCGCTAAAACTCCTTTGGTTCGGAAGAGGTCATTGCCTTTTTCTTTCAAGATATATCCAAGCCACTCGTTCAGCTTCTGCTGGTTGATTTCGCCTTTGACATGGAAACCACAGGAGGTGACACGCTCGTCATGTTGGTGGTCTTGCTCGTCTGCAAGGAAACCATCATCCATCTCCAAGATCTTGTCCAAATCAAAGGCTTGGATGCCTCGTTTTGCAAAACATAGCAAAACAGTTGAACAATGTCACTTAAACTTCTGGTTGTTGATGCCCCCGAAAAATCTCAGCAATTGGGGTTCATCATCCACGGAAACAAAACCTTATATTATATATATATATATATATTATATATATATATTCATATTATTATGCTTGTTCTCGGTCAAGGCATTATGAGCAAGTGAATCCACCGACTCATCACTGGTGTCTCGTGGGCCAGTGGGTTTTCCATTGATCCGTGTTCTCCCTTTTAGAGTCAATAAGAAGCTGCAGTGAAAGTTGAAAAATAAAAGGACTTGAGATCTTATATGATCTTATCATCTTGTATCACCCTGTATCATCTGGTAGACAATCTTGTTCAAAAAAAATCACAAAAAACGCCCAAGTGCCCATGATGAAGTCCATGTCGACCTTGGACTTGGTGGTGCGTTTGATTTTCACCGCCTCATTGATCATGCGAATCCTCCTTTCCACTTCATCCAGGTGAGGCTCGTCCACGAGATCACACTTGTTGAGGATGATGCGATCTGCGAAGGCAACCTTTTTTGGTCTGAAAACAAACTCCCAGATTTGATTTTTGGTTCTTATTTGGTTCTTATTTAAGATTTAAGATGATGTTATTTGATGTTATTTGATGTTGCAAGTATTTGATGCTTCATCATCATTTTCCCTATCAAACAATGGCCATTTGATGCCATGGTCATCAATGTGGAGGGTATAGTCATGTATAGTCACTATACTCCCGATTCTCTTCAGCTAAGCCACCTGTTCCACAGCTTCGTTCTCAACTCCTTCGGGCTTTTCCTCATCCAGGTGCATAATGAGGTGCTTGGCGTCCACCAAAGTCACGATGCCATCCAGCTGCATGTTCTGCTGCACAAAGTCATCTGCAAAGAAGGTCTGGGCCACTGGCGCTGGGTCTGCCAGCCCTGTGGTCTCAATGATCACTCCATCCAGAGGTTTGCCGCTCTGCACTGATCTCTTCCTAGTTGGTGGTTTCAACCCCTCCGAAAGATACGAAAGTCAGTTGGGATGATTATTCCCAATATATGGGAAAATAAAATTCCATGGTTCCAAACCACCAACCAGCTTCATAATCTTCTTGAGACCTGCAATGAGATCGCCACGGACCGTGCAACAAATGCAGCCGTTGTTCATCTCAATGACATTTTCCTCCATCGCCAAGGGTCCAGCTTCAATGAGACTGTCATCAATGCCGACCTCACCAAACTCGTTCTCAATGATGGCGATGCGTTTTCCATGGAACTCGTGAAGGATGTGATTTAAAAGGGTCGTTTTACCACTGCCGAGGAATCCAGTGAGTACTGTGACCGGGACCTTGGCGTCACTACCGGTCTTTTCCTTGGCTGCCTTGGCTGCTGCCTCAGTCTTGGCTAACTTGTCCTTCAGAATTGCTCCCAGCAGCTGTGCTGACTGATAGTCAAGCATCGCCCGCTTGTGGGCACCCAAGCCAGTGATAATGTCGCCCCGGACCTCATACATCTTGCGCAACACGTCCTTTTGCTCCTGTTTGAGATTTTCTTTGTACTCCTGCAAGAAAGCACTCGGGTCCCGTAGTACACGATCAGTGTCATCCCCAATCACCTTTGCATAGGTCTCCATGCAGGAGTTGATCGCCTGAACTCCATCGAAGAATCTGGCCTCTTTCAACGCTGCCTGAGCACGTTCGAAACCTTCACTCCAGGAGACTGTCATGATGGAAACTCCAAGGAGAACGAAAGGAAAGGCTTCGAGACCCAACGGCCCAAGGACAAACTAACTGATTGAGCCGGCAAGCGTGGCCTGGTATGGCCTGGTCCTGGACGATGATTTCACCGTTCGTCAAGACATGCTACCAGTGTATTTCACTCAACGAGTGCCGAATACTTCGAATTTAAGCACAGTTGTGACAGTTGTGACCAAAATTCACTGCAACTTATGCCACTCCACTTGTATCACTAAAGATACTTTCAAGATCTTTCAAGTGTCACTCAGAGGACTACTGATTTGGACTCACTCCCTGTTTCCTTGCCGTCAAAGGCGAAGCTGGATACGATCGAAATCGTGTCACGACCAGCATGCCATAAGTTTTTGCCAAGATACTCCCTGCATGAGGTTAAAATACCGCAAAGCACTCTCAGAATCTTTGGCCTGTTACGGTAGGATACGGTAGGGCTGAAAAATGACAGCTGTTTGGATCTTTTGGGGACGAGTCGCAAGAAACAAGACAGCTGTTCCCATAAGGAAAGTGAATGCATCTATTTCATGCAGCCATCTTGCATTGTCATCATTGTCATGCCTCTCCAAAATGACTTCTCCGTGCCACTTGGTCAGTACATCATTCCGTTGATTCTCCGTTTTGTGTTTTGGGAATGACTCGCTAGGCAGCTAGGCAGCTAGTCAGGCTGGCCTTGTAACAACCTTTCATCAGGGATACCTTGGAGGGCATCCGGCAGGAATACTGACGACATCTGACGACAGAAAATAGATAGGGGCACCTGAAGCAACAAATTACTCTACTTCGTGTGATCCCCACCATGACATGTCAGGACGTATATTTGGACATATATTTAGTATATTCTGACATCCTATCTGACATATATTCTGGCATATATTCTGGCATTCTATCTGGCATATATCCTGACATTCCACCTGGCATTCTATCTGGCAGTCTATCTGGCATTCTATCTGACATATTTTCTGACATTTCATCTGACATATATTCTGGCATTCTACCTGTCAGTTATTCTGACATATATTCTGGCATTCTATCTGACATATATTCTGGCATATATTCTGGCATTCTATCTGGCATTATATCTGACATATATTTTGGCATTCTATCTGACATATATTCTGGCATATATGTTGGCATTCTATCTGGCATTATATCTGACATATATTCTGACATTCTATCTGGCACATTCTATCTGGCAGTTCTATCTGGCATTCTGGCATTCTTTCTGGCATTCTTTCTGGCATTCTATCTGGCATTCTATCTGGCATCCTATCTGACATTCTATCTGGCATTCTATCTGGCATTCTTTCTGGCATTCTTTCTGGCATTCTATCTGGCATTCTATCTGGCATCCTATCTGACATTCTATCTGGCATTCTATCTGGCAGTCTATCTGACATTCCTACATGAGGTCCGGCAGGGAACACTGGGCATGGATGGTCGCGGTTGAGGTCCGGCAGGGAACACTTGGCGCGGATGGTCGCGGTTGAGGTCCGGCAGGGAACACTGGGCGCGGATGGTCGTGGTTGAGGTCCGGCAGGGAACACTGGGCGTGGATGGTCGTGGTTGAGGTCCGGCAGGGAACACTGGGCGTGGATGGTCGTGGTTGAGGTCCGGCAGGGAACACTGGGCGTGGATGGTCGTGGTTGAGGTCCGGCAGCGAACACTGTGGATCGCGGGTCGCAGTTGAGCAAGGACGACGAGGACGACGAGGACGACGAGGAGGACGAGGAGGAGGAGGAGAGGAGGAGGAGGAGCAGGAGGAGGAGCAGGAGGAGGAGCAGGAGGAGGAGCAGGAGGAGGAGGAGGCAACTGACATAAAATCTAACAACCCTCACCTGGCAGGTGGGGAAAAATCCATTCATCTATCAATGGATTGGTTTTGCTGGGAAAATCTGAAAACCGGAAACCATGGTTTTTACCATCGAATATAGGGGTTTCCTGTAAATGTTCCCATCATCCAATTCCATCATCTAACATTCATCTACTAGTAGATGGCATGACCACTTGACCTGCCCGAAAATCCTGTCACGCAGAGTTCAGGGTGGGAATGAGGTCCGAGCAAAGACTCCGCTATCCGGCTGTAATCCATCTGCTTTCCTGGCTGAATCGCATCACTGGTATGACTCACATCCCACCAAATATGGAATTTATTTGCAGGCCTTCTCCTATCCCCTGGTTGCATGCAAGATCAACTTCATTTATGGCCCAGATTCAACATTTCTGAATGCGAAATCCCTGGAAAACAGACATTGACTGGAGGAATAGGAAAGCTGCTCTGAAACGCTTGGGCATTAACCAAATCCAGCCATTCCTCCCAGTCCGGAGAAAACATGACCACTGTTCTCCAGAGTTTCCTACAAAGTAGCTCTTCTAGGACTCTTGGATCTCTTAGAGTAGTGCTCAAATCTTCATGTTCGCTTTAGAAGATTGGCAGCGAGCTTCAACCTGATCTGTCAAAGGAGATACCCCAACATTGCATATCTAATCAAGCAAATGATAGAAAAACATTGGAATTTGGGGGTTGCAATATTTGAGACAGCATGTGACACCCCCCATGCATCAACACTGATTCCTGTTCCTTCTTTGATATATCATAATGTATCCTGATGTTTAACAAATCTAAACGATTTCATCGATTTGAACTCAACAAATGAAGTCCGAGTCTGAGTTAATCATGCCAGGCATGCAGCTGCACAAACCAGGCTTCTGCTCTCTCGAGGTTACCTTCCTGGTGACTCTGCAATAGAACTGGCTTGTCATGATGTGTCATGGTTTTTTCATGTTTCTTCTGGCTTTGCCCTCCAAGCCACTGACACTTGTCCCAAAATGTCCCAAATTCAAGTGCTTCCGATCGTTCTGCCCCTGTTCCAAAAACTGTTGAATAGTTTTGTGGTTTTATGTGGTTTTGTATATCATATATACAATCATCCAGCAACACATTGCCATATATTGCCATCAGCCTCTGCAGCAGCTGTGACCATGCCCTTGTACATGGCATAGTTGGGCTGTAGACCCAAAGCTGGGAGACAACTCATGAGCCTCCCCAGCTCAGCTGGATCAGCTGGTGGCAAGCTGGGACGTGAGAACCACAGGCTAGTGCGGCTAGTGACACAACAGCAGTTGTGTTCCCTAAACTGAAGGAAACAACTCAACAGAGTCTCTGTAAATGTCGAATCTCTTGAATCTATGCCCTGCCTGGTGGCACTGGTAAAGTCCTTCTTTACCTCTAACAAGCCTCAAAGAATCTAAGCGGTGTGCCAGTATCATGGTGGCAACATGACGACTTTCTCTTCAGGTTCCCAAAAAATATCAGAATTGAATTCGGATACTCATCGGATACTCAGGATACTGAGCATATGCCATTGGGAAGCTTATGGGAAGCGTATGCCAAAAACGTGGCAGGTTCATCTGCTCAGCTCCCAGGGCTCCCAGCTTCGAAGCATACGCTTGCAAGTCTTCAGGAGAACTTTGGGAGCTGACAAGAGGATCCTGAAAGCAGTGGAGGGTAAATCCCATGAAATCCCATTAAACCACCATAATATCCCATCAAAACCATCAAGTTTCCCGAAAAGCGCACCTAATTGTACTGCACTCTGAACCAAATCTCTGAAAGAGACATAAGATGACATTTTTGTGTGTCAGATGATCCTTAAGTGGGTGAACGAATCTGAGTGCAATTGACTGAAAAGTATACTTGCTTTCAGATACACCATATTATAATGCTATTAAGTTGTGTCTGTAGATAATATAAATTATACATATATTAATCTATACACAATATTTCCCACTTGTCCAAGAGAGAATTATGCAATTACAGCTCATGGCAATACAGCCACCATCAGCCACCTGTTTCAAGATGTTCCAAGGAGGCTTCTGAGGTCTCAACTTCAAAGCCTCCTCATAGTCGCCCGCATTCAGATGGCTAATGACCAGGAAATCATAGGTCGCCCTCAGCTGACAGCTGATCGGCTCCAGCTCCTTACAAAAACTGCCACACATTCTCTGAACAAGGAAAAGCAAAGATCATAAAAAGGACCTGCTCGTATTAAACACGCCAAAGGCTCGAGGACTTTCTGGGGCTCCGTCTTCATTCGCTTGAGATTTCAATCTTTTCCGTCAAACAGTACTTCAACTAGTACTTCAACTATCTTCAACTGGGTATGTCTGAAAATGGGGTATACCCCCAATTATAGCCATTTAGTAGGGGTAATGATCATTAACCATTGGGTGTAAGGGTACACTATTTTCAGACAAACCCAACTATCTGCATGCTGCAGCATGGTTTCTCAATTCGCACATTGGTCGCCAGGAAAGTACTGGAATTGCGTGAAACTTTCATCATGGCAGTGCCGACACTGCCACCTCCTTCTAAAAACAGACTGAAAATTGGGTGGCTGATCAGCTGTACTATGCCGCTATGCGAGCAACTTTCATTTATAAGTCGTCGCTTAAAGATGCTACCAAGAGGGTCACAAAGCATTGAATGCACTTGGGATGTTCACTGAATCACAAGATTCACCATCCTTGAGCTTTGGGTCTGCCAGGAGGCCTTTGCCTCTCCAGAGCCAAATACTCAGCTAGTGTCCATGGCTGCCACTCAAGAGTGCAACAAAAGCGATTGGAAAAGGATAGAAGATGTATGAAAATGTGAACATTGAAACGACGTGCAAACGGCAGCAAGATACACTCTTTCTGTGTTCATTCAGAGCTCTACGAATCAGCATCAGGACTGCTTACACCTGAATTCGGCATCCGGCGAATGCACGTCAAAACACATTTCTGGGCCGTTGCTTGTAAGCTAAGCATGAGTCAATAACATTCAGCAAAGAACTCCTGGGATCTCCTGGGTAGGTATCGTAACATGTCCCCATGGACATTGTTGATCCCCCATGATCTCATTGAACATCTGCTTTCTTGCGCCAGGGTATTTTTCTCATCCAGATCGATTACCCAGGCAATGTGTCAACCCATTTAGATACTTCCTCAGATCCTGATGATGGGGCGGAAATTGTTCTTGGGTCTTCTGAATTTTCCTGTGGCGTCAAGCAGTCAAGATCAGTCCAGCAGCTCATAGTGGCAGCAGTTGTTCTCCCTGATGGCACCATTGACTGCAGCAGATGGGCACTCTTCCTGCGGCATCCCATGCATCCCATGGGGTCCCTTGTCATGGCCATGGTGCCATGGCCATCCATGGCCCGTTCCCGTCCTTGCCAACATTCCAAAGCCCAGTGAGGCTTGCGTTGGGCGTCGGTGGGATGATACTCCAGTTTGAAATGTTATCTACACCTGAGTCCGGAAGACCCGAAGACCCGGGCACTGCCGGGCAAATTTTGTTTTGTTCATTGAGGGGAAAGGACGCCAGCTATGTTCAAACAGGTTTGACCCAGGTGTCCCAGCCGGGCCAGTGATACCAAGATTGATGAAAAGAAACACAAACAATCAATTGGTCGCAGGCGCACTTTGCTAATCCTAGTTCGTCAACAAATCAAGTCAAGCTACGATGTTTTTTCATGATCTTTGTCCAAACGGCCCTCAGCCATCAAAGTCTCAGGAAGTGAGTTCCAAAGGTGGAATTGATAGTGTGAGCATTGACAGCCAACACCTACTCAAGGGCAAGTAGATCCAAAATCAACAAGCAACTCTTGCACGGTCTTGGATGCTTGCTCTCGCTGACATCCAAGCTAGAGTTGGAAATGGAAAAATGCAAAATAAACAACAGAGTACTTCCGCTGCACATCAGAATTGTTTCTTTGCCGTCAAGTAACTTGGAAGGACACTTTGGCCTGTCAGGTAAATGCCACATTTTGTTCATTTGGCCCTGTCACAGTGAAATTATGCAGTGCAAAAGTTCGATGTCTTTGTGGTGATGTAGCCAACATACCTGTCCAGAAATGGGGGTATACATGGTATACCCTTAATTTACCTCAATGTTAAGTTGGAAAATGATGATCAAATATATGGAAATTCTACCGGAAGCAGTTTGAAATTTACTCTTGGCATTTCTTTGGCATTTTGTTGGCATCTCTTTGGCACTAGGTGACTAGGTGAGCTCGATGCAATGTCTGAGAAACGCGGACCACCAGCCGGTTGTAAGAACGGATGAATCTGATCATAACATATCTGGTTGGTGGTTTGAACCCCTCTGAAAAATATGAGTCACTGTTTCGCTGTTTCGTTGGGATCACATGGGATCACTATTCCCAAGATATGGTTAAAAATAAAATTCATGTTCCAAACCACCAACCAGATAATATTGATTTGTCTGAAAATTGGGTATCTCTGAATCGCTGGGTTAGTCACCGAAAACACCCCTTCAAATTTGCATTTTGCTGGTATAGCGTGTGTCCCATTCTCAGACACACCCATATCATAACTCGCTTGTCCAAGGCAGCATCGCCCCACGATCAAGAACGGCCTGTGGTGCTTGAATTCCATAGGGTGGACGTCGGACGGAAGGAAGTTGCACTGCATGACTTCAGACGCAGGAGCGTTCTTGGTTCACCAGGGCCGTGGATGACCAGCCGAAAGTTCACGCGTTTTTTGTGGATCGCACGCATCAAAAAAACTGATGACTTGAATCCAATGGGATCCAAAGATTCTGACTATATGAATATCACCGAATATTGTGGCAGCTGGGTTGTAAGCGGAAAATTTGCGAAAAATGATGTCTGAAGTTTTTTTGTGCCAGTTCACACACCATCAAGTGACAAATATCACCATCTAAAATCACATCTATTGTTTTAGTCTATTGTGAAACAGCTCACCTAAAAACTTGCCTTCACTATCTGCGAAATGATTCTGTTGACAGTTTTTGCAACTTGAAAAGAAAAGACTTCATTGATCCAAATCGATCCAAATCTGGACGCTGATGATCCAAGCTGAATCCAAGCAGCCCAACTCGAATTGACGTGGTACTTGTTGAACACCTGTCAGGAACAAAATGCAATAACAAGATGAATAATCGTAATAAGAATCATTCACAATATAGAAATATAGTAGTAATATGTAATAATAGTGATAATGGCAATAATCAGAACAACAATATAATGTTGACTGCAATCATGTTAATTACTAATACAGTTGCATAATGCTGAATTCCTGCAGTCCCGCAAAAGACACCATTTCTTCGTGAGGAAGTCGTTCACCGAAAAAAAATGCAACGACAGACCCTGTGTAGAAAAGGGATCGAAGAAAGGAATACTTGGCTGTTGAAAATCCAGCCGAAGTAGCCATCCTCGCTTGCTGCAGCTCCACACTTGGACCCGACTCAACATGTTCATGTATCCTGCCTTTTGAAGATTAAAGTAGTTGTCCAACCTTAATTTCATGAGAGAGAAGATCTCCTCACACACTAGACTCGCCAGCATCAACCCCTCTCCAGTTTGTTTGAAAATTCATGATCGGTGCCTACAAACATCTACAAACAGTATCTGCTAAACATCCAGGCTGGGTGAATCTCTAATCGTCCCAGCAGCAAGTACAGCTTGCTCTGGTTGGCCAGAAAGTCGGGGGACAGCGTTAAACCATACCTTCAGGTCACATCTGAAAGATTCTGAAAGTCAGGCTTTGACAGGCTTTGACAGGCCAGAAGCTCAGCGAGTAGTGACCGAACCGCAATTTCGTCGCAACTGTGGGTCTTTCTCTCATGGCGAATGACGCAAAAAATAGATCGCCTCCACCAATGTGGACAGCCCAACGAAACTGCTTCATTCAAGTTGCTCTTCCTTGTCCATGGAAAACTGAAAAGCGATGGCACCTCAATGGGAAGGATAACAGCTCTAATTTTTAGATTTTGAATTGCAACTTAAACGCACTCTTGCCCTTGAGGACTTCCCCTGCCGTGGGCTGTGGTGGGTTTGGTGTTTCATGACTTGGGGATGAGTCGATTGTTTCAGTGCTTCAAGGTTCGAAATGTCCCAGCAAAATGTCAGGGTTGTAGCGACGCCATTACAATTCAGTGCCAACAGGCAGGGATTGAAGCCCGTTGTGAATGCAGTCTCACACGAGAAGAATCTTTTAGTGAAGTTTCGAGGATGTTACGAAAGTAGCTACAGTATACCCTCTGGTTATTTGACATAGCCATGGAAAATCACCATTTCATAGCTAGGTAAACCATGGTAAACCATCTATTTCTATGGGCCATGGCTTCCATGGCAACAAATAACCAGATGGGTCCAGATGGGGCACCGCTCATCATTTCTCCCATGTCCTCGCCCATCAAATGCTTCACCTCTGGCCATGTGCGGCCACCGGGATACCTGAGGCGGTCGGGAGATGGTCGGAACACTTGCCATCGCTTGCCCTCGTTGCCATGGCGATTATATATGGCTATTGGTCAAAACCCTGGCACCTAGTGAACCCCAAAATAGCTGGAAGTTATGGATGTTCATCCCATTAGAACATGATAATAATAGGTTTTGACCCACCCCCATATGCGATTTTAGGTTCGATGTGTCCAGCGCCGAGTCACGGGCATTTGGTCTTGAAGGCTCCCAAGTTGCAGCCAAATTCGGTAAAGAGGAAGGGCACCTTGGCAGGCTCGAAATAGTCTGGCGTATCATGATGTATCATGATATGTTGATGATATGTTGATGATATGTTGATGATATGTTGATGATATGTTGATGATATATGTTGATGATATGTTGATGATATATGTTGATGATATGCTGATGATAATATGTTGATGATATGCTGTTTTTCATGGTGTTCCAAGAGCACGGGGGGGCTCTGGTTCTTCTGACTTTAGGGCAAATCAATGATTTTTGAACGATCTTGATGAATGAAACATGCCTCTCTTTTCTGGAAGACTGGATCCACCAAACACCCATGGATCTTTTCTGCGGCTGAAGTCGGCGCCGAATTGATTAAATTAACTCTCGCTAGAAGCTCAGGCACAGAGATGTCTTTGAAGTCTTTCTGAATCTCATAATAAGGCGAATACCTTGGAGAAATGGCATGAAATGGTGCTGGCGAATACCGGCCGCTTTTTGCATACTCGGGTCTGGACGAGTCAAGCAAATCACGTTTAGTGGATTCAAAAAACGAGAATTGCACGTGGTTCGTTCTGTGAAAAAAGACTCCGGCTGATCATAATGGATAATTGATAATAAACACACTTAAAAGGGATGAAGCCTGCTCCTGACAGCAAACTGGAAAGAGTTGACAGGGACTAACCTCATACCAAATTTGTCCGACAAATTTCAATCAGGTGGGAAACATGGTATACTTATGTACAGTATTAACATGGAGGACTATCCAAAACTAGTGCAGTGGGATGCTGGAAGTTGTCAGCTTTGCCCGCTCCAGGATATTCCTGTGTCGAGAACGGTGGCAGTTGCAGCCAGGGATCTACCCTCTGGTGATGACTAACAGTTTGCTATTGAAAATGGCCATTGAAATAGTGAGTTTTCCCATGTTTTCCCCATTAATAGCATGGTGATTTTCCAGAGTTTTTTGTTAAATTACCAGAGGGTACATGGATCTACGGCATTTCTGTGATTCGAATCATCCATGTCACGCAGTTGTGTCAAGTGCTTGCAGAAGGCGCAAGCCTGCACCATCTGCACCTTCTTGTGGACCATAATGTATTCAAGATATTCAAGCAATCGCTAGCAGCTAACTACCCCAGTAGCGCTACTGTACTGTGTCTGTACAAACAAAACCCGAAGAGACAGCCTGAAGCAGCTGGGTCATTGTGTCCAGAGGTTCCAATCATCCAATTGCAGGGTTGCCATCTGAAAATGCGATTCTTAACAGAACCAACTTCTGTACCGGCGTTTATTTGATCTTATTTGCAGATGGCAGTGTGTCAAAACCTGGTACCCCTGTAGTTCACATCAAAATAGCTGGGATTTATGGATGTTCATCCCCCTAAAAATGGTATTTTCATAGGTATTGATCCATAGCCAGATGTTGAACAAAAAATGCATGTCATACCCTCTGGTACTTTAACATAGCTATTGAAAATGGCCATTGAAATAGTGGATTTTCCCATTAATAGCATGGTGGATCTTTCCAGTTCGCTACGTTAGTCATTACCAGAGGGTAATTAGTTTGTTCACCTTCTCAATCTTACGGATTCCGATTCTCGCACCTCATCACACCAGGAGTAGACGTTGAGGCCGTACACGTCAACGGCATCATCCTTGCGCCCAGCTATGGCCAGCGGGCAACTCCCGGCTACAACATCTGAGATGGATGCGTCAACAGCTACAGAATCACTATCTATGGCCAAAGAAAACAAACACCGCATGCAAATAGCCGTGATGTCCAAAATTCCTTCACATCTTTACTTCCAAGACTTTCAGAAACCAGTAACAGATAGTAGCAGAATTATATAATTAGATTTGGATGGTTTTAGTAGCAACCGATCATATCAAATCGCTACAGCATATCTACAGCAGAATCAATCCTCGTCATCAAGCTCGCAGGTCAGATAGGCTGCGACTTCCCCACGGTCGCCTGAGATCGTGGCGATCGCGGCAGCGAGCTGAAACCATAAACGACACCATTTCATGCAGAAAATGATGGAAAATGATGGACATAAATCATTGTAATATGTAGTGAAATGGGATGAAATGGGAATAAATTCTAGAAATTCTGAATTCCCAAGGCCTTCATAAAAATCGTGAGACCATTATCACTCATGGTGGTAAAAATGTTTGAGAGGACAAGAGCTCGCTGAGCTCGCGCCCTCGGTTTCCTCGGTTTGGTATCGGCAATGCTTTCCGTTTCGGAAAAAGGAAGCCGTTTGCATTTCACGTCCTTGCTGACGTTCTGCTGTTCAAATCACAAGCGAGATCAAGCGCCTGCGCCCATGTCCACATCGGAATAGATCCTCAGCGCAAGAAATGCACCAAATATATCCAAATATTCAAGTATCCATCGCTCTTCCAGCTGGTTCTGTATCAAAGAGGTCCTGCCAGGAACCTTTCGTCAACTGTAAGAAGAAGGAGGAAGAAGAAGCTTCGCTTCCATATTTCATAACATGTCATTCATCAGATCATGACGCCTCTCGCCATGTGCCTCTGGCAAGTTCCTGGCAAAACAGAAAAAGGAAAAACTTCTGGCGGGGCTCAAAGGAACACGTCGCATAGTCTGCCCGCATTCGGCCTGCAGCGGACGGGTAGAAAGCAAACGCCTTCATACCAGGTACGAATAACACGGAAGATCCTTCCCGACAAATGAAGGTTTCCAAGGTTCAGCAAACCGCTCAGGAACTCTTACCTCATCTTACCTCAATGAAACTCTTTCCAAAGTCAGCTTGTGGCATTGCCTGACTGCGCTTTGCAGCATACCTAAGAAAACTGGGACTGGACTGACTGACCCTGCAGGCCTGGTATCGATGCACGTCGCGGGTAAGGGCTTTGACGCACGGAAATGCCGCCCAGCCATTCTTGTCGTTCTGTGCCTCGAGCATTGGGTCAAGCGAACAAAGCCAAGAGCTTCATTTGCGATGGCCAGCAAAGTGACACTGCGGTAAGGCGACTGCGGACAGTCTTTCTTCTTGTCCATTTTGTATCGCTGTTCAGGCATGACATTGGGGAGTGCAGGTGCTTTATGGTGCTTTCACATCTTTCACGTCAATGAAAGATTGCTGGAGAGGGAGACCCACCAAAAGAGAAAAACGTCACTGAGAATCTGCCGGAGTTGGATCAAGTTGCCAGTTCATTCGCCACAGTGAGCAGCAGTGTGTTGTTGTACCGGCTGAACTCCTGCACGACTTGCTTGGCAAAACCTGACAAGTGAGCCACGTTCTGAGAGCTGCAGCATATGTAGCTACCGAGAAAGAGCAAGGAGCAGCTTAGTTTAGTTGAGTTTTAGTTGATTCCGATTCCTGTATATTCAGCCGCACCCTTGGACATCATACGACGTCATGACTCCCACATCAGACCATATTCGCTCTGGACTCCACACAACCATGGCTCAATCGCAAGCGAAGGGCTGAAAGCGTTCACGCCAACATTTCCATATCCTTCGATCTCCTGAAGAAAATTGAACATGTGCTGCTTAGCTCAGCAAGTTGCAAGTGGCATTGCAAGAGAAAGAATGGAAAAAGCCATACCCTCCGGTAATTTAACATAGCTATTGAAAATGGCCATTTATAGTGGATTTTCCCATTAAAAATGATGATTTTCCATAGTTACGTTAGTTTACCAGAAGGTAACTCCGATCAGGACTGGCAGAGCTCATCCAAGCTCATCCTATCATACTTCGTCCAGGTCCATCTTCGTCCTGTGTGTAGCAATTGGGTGATGCAAAAGCTGGCAAATAGCCCCAGTCTTTTCCGTTCAGAGGCACAATGACCTGCAGCGCCGAACCGCATGGAGTTTCATACACTGTCAGTGCTGAAACAATCTGAAACAGAAAAAAACAAGCCATTGCCAAGCAGCATAAAGACCCAGTGAAAGCGCCTGGAGCAGAGCAAGACAAGACACCGTTGCACAAACAGAAGTTTGGCAAAATTGGAATTAGTTGGGCTCTGAACTATACTTTGAAAATTATTTGAAAATGAGTTTGGCTCATTTTTTGGAGCAAGCGATTAAAACGATTCAAACTTGAGTCGTGCCACAATCCGAAGACATGGCGTGTTGATTCCACCAAATCTTCGAATATCTGCATCGTTTGGCTTGTTGGTCGCCGGGAATGCCAAATGAAAGACTGAGAAACACCTTGGAGGTTTCCCTACAAACATCTACAAACTGGTTTCATCAGTTTCATCTTAAAATCCACAAACAACGTTGCCTTCTCCATAAACTTGGAGTGATTGTTCTGCGGGTTCACGTTGTAAAGGCGAACTGTGTTGGCACCTTGAAGCCGCAACACACATCGCCAACAAGCATGTTTCAAAACTCTGCTCATTCCATCTCATTCCCAAGCTGCCAACCAAGATCTGCGATTGCCTCTAGATCGACACCTTAGAATGGCCAAATGATTCCAAGTCCAAAGCAGTCAAAAAAGCACGCTCAAAACTCATAAACATAAAATGTCATAAAATGTCAAGAAATTGAGCTTCTGCAGATTTCCACGGGGCAGGACATATTCAAGCCTGCGACAGCAAAGAGCCTTCTTCAATTTTCGACACATCATCGTGCCGGTCAGCTACTCCAGCCCAGAATTATTATGAATTAAGGCCAAGAAGCTCCAAACGTCTTCGTGCTCGTCGGCAATGACGTCCTCTGCTCACAGCTCTGTTTTGTTGGCACCCAAAAAAACTAATGAAACCGGATTCATTGAAATACCATCAATATTAATAATGGAATGATATGGTCAATAAGAATGGTTTTCTTGGCATTGAAGTGAATCCTGTTTCCCGTGATTTTTTATCTACCATCTGGTTATTTAACAGTTCGCCATGAAAAAAAATCACCATGCTATATAGCTAGGTAAACCATCTATGGACCATCTATATCATGGCTATGTTAGTCATAACCAGGTTGGGTATTACAAATGGCCCATTTATAGATGATTTTCCCATTCAAACCTCCATTTCTCATGGATTTTCCATGGCAATGGCACCATCAACTGGGAAACCTACGACGATTGCACGGTATGTAGCACGGCACGGTGCTCGCTCCTCGGTGTATGACCATTCACCACCCTTGGGACGGCCTGGAACGCAGTGGTCCTTAGTGGTTTGACGCGAACGCTGGTTATCTTTCTCCATTTTTTCTCACATGTCTCTTTCTTCTCAGTATTTCTAAGTTATAGTTATAGTTATATTCTAGTTATAGTTATAGTATGTTATAGTTAATACTATAATATGATATATGATGTTACATTCAACTACTTGACATTGTGGCGCAGGGGCAACTTTTTTCACCATGACAAATCGTCATGGCTTGCCGCCAGTTCCAACGCCAAGTCTCTGTCCAGTTTTCCACCTGCTGGAGGGACGAGCTAGGCATGGTATAGATGGCCCATAGAAATAGATGGTTGACCTAGCTATAAAATGGGTGGATTTTCCATGGCGAACTGTAACAAATAACCGGAGGGTACTCTCAAGTTGGATATTTATAGCATGTTAATGCATTTTAATGGTCAGAATAGCCGTTGTAATGCTGGTACTTTCCAGTCTCGCAGTTGGAGGTCTGGAAATGTCCAAAAGCAGCTCGCCACTGGTTTTATCATTCGAAATCCCATCAGGATCGTTGGCTCTATGCAGGCACAATCAATCTACCCTCTGGTAATGACTAACAGTTTGCTATTGAAAATGGCCCAGTCGAAATAGTGGATTTACATGGATTTACCCAGCTAGATAGCATGGTGGATCTTTCCATAGTTTTTTGTTAACGTTTACCAGAGGGTCATCCTGTTCATTATCTCTGCTACAAAATCTCTGACCATATTTTATCGCAACCCTTTGTACCCGGGCCTTCACATTCTGCCCAAAGGATTTGTCATAGTGTTCCTTGCTGGCAGATGGCTTGAACATGGACGTCGCAATGCAACGATTGTTGATTGACACTCTTGACATCACAACTAGACACCGCAAATCAAATGAACATCTGTGAAATTCCAGGTTGTTCAACCATTGGTCCGGTCCACTGTGTATGACCGGTCATCATCTGCAAGTTCCAAAGCTACACATTGCACACCATTGTGGAAGGATGTCAGAATCTCTGGGTTTCGAAGAAGCATCAGTTCCAATTCAGGCGCTGTACATGGTGGGGATTCGCACAAAATAGATCAACATAGACTGAGTAATGCCCAAATACATCGAAATACTACAAAGGGTTCCAAAGGACTAGAGAAATACGTCAGGATGCATCAGCTGGTCCAAAATCGTCCAAAGCTCATTACGAGGATTATAGGCCACGCCCTTCGCAAAGAATCGATCTCCAGTCACCTGGACTTTGTGAGGGCGAGGAAAAAGGCTACAACACTTCCACCATGGAAACAGAAGAGAAATAAACAGTGAACAAACATTGAACAAACATGAAATATACTTGAACAAACAATATAAACAATTAAGAACCCGAAAATGATGCGATCATACAAAATGTACGGCAAGAAATGCGAAAACAAACCATCCCTTCTCGTGTGCAATTCATGCAAAGGAAATCGAACTTCGGTGCTGCAGCATATGACACTGTTCTCATCTTTTCTCATGCTCTGCCAGAAGGAAAGGAGGCGATATTGATTGATATTGATTCCGTAGCCACTTGCAGCTGCTGCAAGTGCTTGGACGGGATTACACTTTTCAAATCACCACTGGCTGGTGCAAAATTCTAGGTCTGCTCATCGTCCCGAGCCACATCTCCTTGAGAGGATGGGATTGGAAGAGAGAACAGCAATAATCAAGTCACAATGGCCCTGCCCACATGCTTCAACAATCTTCAACATATGGCAATCCATAGTACATAGATTTACATAGCTACCCATGACCATCGTGGCAATGTATGGCACTCCACTAGCCCCTTGCAACGCTTGAAATTTCATTTCCAGTTCGACAGAGCTGTGGACAGAAACCCTTTGATCATCAAAGTGGTCGGCATCTCTGCTGACTGACAGCAGATTTTTCCGCATCTCAGTGCTGGAACTCCATCGCCTCACTGCTCCATGGACCATGGGGACGATCAGTTGATATCAGTGTGTCTTTGCTCACGAACATCGCCGTTCTTCCTGGTCCATGATGGTCCATGGTGTCAACTCCTGTTTGGGCTATTCCTGCGTTTTTCGCTATGCCTACAAGCCACAACTACAAGAACTACAAGTCACACGAGTGGTTGGAACAACATGTGACAAGGTTTTTCCCCACAAGGAGAGTTGTCAGAAGGAGCTACGACGTGAACTACTGCCAAACAATCTGGATACCCTCTGGTAAACGTTTACATAACTATGGAAAATCACCATATTTAATGGGAAAACTCACCATAAATTGCCATTTTTGATAGCTATGTTAGTCATTACCAGAGGGTAACATCTGAACAAAGAGGATCTCTCTCTCTCTCTCACCCTGCGGGTAATTTGATGCCAATGGAGGCACCATGATCAGCGAGGCTTCAGGAAAAGATGCCTCATCGCCAGCTAGCTGCGAGCGCCTTGAGCGACTGAAACTTCGAAAACTGAGACCGAAAGAAAGATAGAAAGCTGGGTATGGCGGGTATGGATCAATACCTATTAATACCATTTTAATGGATGAACATCCATTTACCAGCTATTTTGGGGTTCACTAGGTACCAGGGTTTTGACCCATCCCCAGCTCAGAAAGCTCAGACTTCCGTAGACTTCCGTAGACCCCTTGAGTTTATCCATTTTATCCAACAGTTTCTCCAAAGGTCTGCGTTTTGCCGACAATAACCGAGGTTGCCAAGGCTGCCAAGGAGCTAGGAGAAGGGTCCAGCCAACACATAGACCAACTCCTGCAAAAATTGGTGGCCAGATATGGCCAGATGCTGTACAGCGACATGATTCGATGCGAATCAATACATCACAGATCATGACAGTCATCGATGCATCCTGAAGGTCATGTTGCAAAATGATGCAAAATTTTGCACCCGCAATTGAGTAAGCCATGCGGTCAACACTTCTGGATTCAAGCCGATCAATGAGCCACGAACACAAAGATATAGAGCCAGGCTAATTACTTTCCAGATTTGTGCTTTCCTGACAGAGTTATAGACCATTATAATCCCCATTAACTATAGTTATATCTACTATAAACCATTATAATCCCCATTGATAATATATATATATATATATTATAAATTAATACGTTTATAGCATATTTTCGCAGCATCCAGGTGCTGTCGCAGCACATATATCTCAAAAACCCGGCAGTACAAAAAAAACGATCATCCCAAATGTGCAAAACACCATGAGAACGCAAGTCACCCCAATGGTTTCAAACTATATGGAAAATTATTAACAAAATGACATGTTTCAATATCAAAACACCATGTAAACGCATGATTCATGTATGTTTGGGTATTTTTGTTTGCAAAACTATAATCGAGTATGTAGGAATCTTTATTCCCTTTGAGAATTCTTGTATCCTGTCCTCCATCTATGACATCCTGGGTCAAATAGCAAGGCATGTTGTTGTCGTTCCTTGGCGACATTCTCTTCACAAACCTTTCTCCGAAAGATATTTTCCCCTCATTGGCAGCGAAGCGATTGTTTCAAGTCACTTGCAGTAACCAACAATGCTGCCGGCTACCTGGCGTTCCTTAGAAGCAACATGCCGCAGATTCATCTGTTGGCAGCTTTAGCTGAGATCTTGCAGGAAACTACAGTCGTGTCCAGAGAAGTCCAAACCCCCCGAAAAAGTATCTTACAGGCAGGAACGACTAAGCAATAAAATGATCCAAGCAAGCCAGCGGTAAAACCCTGTTTTCAGTCTCAGTCACACGTCAAGAGTATTCTTGTGCCAAGCTGCGCATTTGCAGGCATAAGGATAGTCATTGGAGAAGGTATAGTACACAAGGTTGTGAACCCTGAGCTGGTACAGAAAGATCAGAAAGGTCTGTGGATGTTGAATGGAATGCTTGCAAGGCTGCACTACTCAAGAATCTACAAGGGCAAATCCTTGCGACACATGAAAGCTGTAATCGTTGCAGACGAGCTCTTCTATCACATGAGCCACGATGCAAATTCCTAGCAATTGTTTTCGGAGTTGGCTTCTCATGTCTCCATCATCAGGCAAGAAGTACTTTACCAATCTGTACCACCAACATTCAGTTTTCTGACAGACCTTTGTCGCTAGCTCACCTCTTTCTGTTTCCTTGCTAGAAGTTGTGTCCTAGAGAATGGCACCAGGGTCCACCTATCCCTTCAACACTGGCTGCTAGGTTCCAGGGAAAATCTACTGGAAACTATGCTGACATATGCTGACTTGCTGGCCAAAATTGGCCAAAGATGGGAGATGATGGGAGGATTTCCCCTGGGACTTTGCGATTTCGAAATTTCGAAACCAGGTCACCCTGTGACACTGGCGCCCTCTCCAGGTGCAGTCTCGACCGCCTGGTGGAACTAACTCCCACACAGATCACAAGTCACAAATCCTCACTTTGTGAATTGCGAAACGCATCCGATCAACACTGTTTGGTGGGTTCAACCCCTCTGAAAAAATATGAAAGTCAGTTGGAAAGGATTATCCCATATATGGAAAATAAAAAATGTTCCAAACCACCAACCAGACCGAATTTTTGGGGAAGGCAACTGACGAAGTTGAGACGGATACTGCGGTTGGAATCTGAGGCTCTGATCACATTCTTCCCGTGAAACGCCGGAACGGCCGTCCTGGACCACGCTGCCGAAAGCTGTGGCGCTGCTTTCGGCGCTCTGACTCAAGCATAGCCTGCAAAAGCCAAAAATGCATCCGAGCTATTCCGAGCTCCGAGGTAAATTGTGCAGCCATGCCATGTGTAGCCCTCTGGTGAGCTGTGGGTAAAGCCATGGTAAAACTCTCTGGTGGAGCAGCCTACACTATTTTGTAGTTTGATTTATTGGGAAAACTGTGGGAAAACATGGATTCAGGATGATTCAGGAGATTTGTTTCACAATTCTGACTCACATCCTGGCCCCACACCTGATGCTCGCAACTAGCACAAGCGCTCGAAGAGGCGACAGCATATCGCCTCCTAGCAGGGTTGCTGGGCCAACCTAATCTGATGCCAGCAGGAGAACAATATCAAGGTGCTTCCGATTTTCAAATAGAAAACGGGACTTTACATACATGCACAAAAGGCGTGGGAATGGGAGCATTCAAAAATGCATTGAAGTCACTGCATGGTGCAAAGTCCCTGAACGCTTCAAAACGCTGCATCAGCAGGTTCTGGCAAATCCCCTTTACGAACAGGGATTTGCAACACCCCAAACGAAAAGTAATTAAGTTCAGCATTCAGCATTGGACAACAAAGATTATATATAGAGTGCATGATGCTGAATGTACTTCCCCAAAGGTAAAATGTGTAATGGGAGACAAAGAAGACAATGAGCGTACCCGCTTTTCCCTAAACGTGTTTCCTCTGTAGACCAGCAAGAATCGTCCAACTCCGCTATCTGTCCTCCTCAAGATTTTTCGCAAGTTGCCCAAGTACCGCACGAGACAAAGCTTTGTTGCTGACAATTTTCACGGTTCTGTTGTTCATTGACTTCTGGCTCATGTTGCTACCATCTCTCACTGCATCCAAAATAGTGGTGTTGCAGCTCTGCCAAACTCTTCTTTTCAGGCAAAAAGTTCAATCAGCTTGCAGAGTCCGCGGTTTGAGCCAGACAATGGCATGAACATTTTAGTTTTAAGAGTGGCCACTTGCCATGCCGCCGCATTGTCAACATTTGCTCTTCTTGTGCATAACTCTTGGTGTGTCTCTGTGTCTCTGTGTGTGTGTGTCCGCAAAGAGTCACGCCACAAGCCACATACTTTGGCCTCTATGAAGGGATTGGACACGAATAAATAAAAACCCTATCCTCCAAATATCCTAACACAAACGTCTTGGCATTGGCTCCTGATTTTATTGCATCTGACTTTGGAAACTGTCGACATTTCGGAGGACAAAGCTCACGACCATCTCTCCTGCCAGTACATCCTAGTGCTCATATGTGGAAATTCGATGGAGTTCAAATGAGTTCAATCCTCCCAAATGGATTACCCTCTGGTAATTTAACATAGCTATTGAAAATGGCCATTTATAGCGGATTTTCCCGTGAAAAATGGTGATTTTCCATATTATGTTAGTTAACCAGAGGGTATATGGATTCATAAATGGATGCAATTTTGGGACATCAAATCATCAGCTGCCGCAAAAAAGTCAAGTCACCGAGTCGTAGAGGAAGTTTCCACGCACGATGATGGGATTCACTGTCCTGGGAAATCTGATTTTTTTCAAGATCCCCAGGTCATCCCAGGTCCCATTACCCTCTGGTAAACTAACATAACTGGGAAAATCACAATTTTTCATGGGTAAATCAACTATAAATGGCCATTTTCAATAGCCATGTTAAATTACCAGACGGTATGTCCCATTGGTTTCAAGGTGTTTCAAGATCCCCAGTCATGGTCGACCATGACTAGGATGAAACAAGGGGGTACCCCCAGTTTTGTAAACCTTCATGACATGATGACATGACATGTGAGTTTCTAGTCGCGTTTGATGTGGTAGGTGGATGTAGGTGGTACATGGCAAGTGGAGAATTTGTTTGAGAAAATAAAGCCAGATAAAATGCCAGTGTCATCCGCAAGGAACAGGTTTTTACAGTATATGTTTTTATAGGTTTTTCACAGGGACACTTAGCTTGTCTTAGCTTCGTAATGTGCAGCTCAAGAGGCTTAAAACTTGGAGGAATAGGCGTTGGCGGGTTTGCTGGTAGAGGAGGCATCGGCCTCAGGGGCCACTGCAATTCACAGCCGAATCTGAAGTCAGTGGCCATTTCAGGAATATCCCCACAAAATATGGCCAAACATGTGGTACAATATGGTACAATATGGTACAATATGGTGGTACCTCCATTTTAGGATCCTTAAATTCCGATTGATGAAGTGCGCAAGCAGAGTAACGGCCCTGTGTACGGTTCGTTAGTCTCTTCCTCCTCTGACTCCTGCAAATTGGAAACAACAAATACCGGCGCTTGCAGGACAGCAGCGGCTAGTCCCACTTTTGAAAGTGCCAAGAAAGTTGCAAATTCCAAGCGAATCCCAAGTATAGAACAGCAGAACAGTCTGCGATAAACATTATAGACCAAAATCATCTGCAAACACGATGGTTTGACAAAGCGATACACATCTGCAAGCACTGCAAAAGTCCTCTTCTACGGATTCGTGACCATCGTCATCGTGATCTGCTTCCTCGTGATCTTCAGACTCTTCATCGTCTTCAGGTTCCTCCAGACTCAAGAGATCACCAACGGTGCAACCCTTTTGGATCCTTTTGGTGTGGCCATGTACTGTCGATAGGCACAGGCCCAGGCACCTCTGGAGTATTCATGTCATCCTCGGAGGGCAAGTCCTGAGTGCTGGCAACACTGGAAGGTGTGCGATTACGACGCAGAAACATTCCACCTGGCAGTGCCATTCATGGCACTTGGCACTTGGCACTCCTAAAAGTCTGGGACCAAGCTTTGAAGATCTTTGAAGCAAAGTGTCTCCAATGCCAGGAAGGCCAGGAATGTCGAAGTCGGGAAGACCAGGAGTGTCTCCAATGGGAAAGACATCCTGGTTCTTGGAGTCTTGAGTCTGCCTGGGTTTTCTGCATCGGCAAACGTGCCACATCGCGAAAAATACAGACTGTCAATGGATTGGTTTAAGGGAAAATTTACAGGAAACCATGGTTTTTACCATCAAATATAGGGGTTTCCTGTAAATTTTCCCATCATCCAGTTCTATGAGACTGGCAAACTGGGGGAGGTTGGAAATTACACCTTCTGACAGTCCTTCCATCGACTAGTAAGATCAACAGCACCATAGCACCTCTTTCTTTTTGTCCATCTTGGGAACCCGCAACCACAAGATGTCAACAAACAAAATCATGCCAGAACGTCAAGCTGAACCTCTGCACAGGTTCTATACACAAAGCCCATCCAAGATGATGAATGACAATGAGAGGTCAAAGTGATCACAAAGAGCATGTTTTAGAGCGAGTTATAAGATGTTATAAGTATATCAGGTTCAAGATTCCGCATGTCACTGAAACCAATATTCATATCATGTTCATCAGCATACTGCAGAATTGTGGCAGCTCAATATAGCTAAACTGAACCAAATAAGAAAGTGGCAAGCAGAAGTTCGCATGTCAGTGTTCAATGCACAGTTGCTTTGCAGCTGCCCTCCGCTGGAGTGCATGAAGTGCACAGTCGGAGTTGGCAACACATTCAGAGTCCTATCCGATTTGCAATGGCATTGGTCAAAGGATATCAAGCCGCGCATCGTCGCATCTACGGAATTCTACGAATCTCATTCCTACATTTTATACTGAGGCTCCAATACAAATTGAGGCTTGATGTGAGCGACAAGATTTCTTATGGGCATGTCATTATCTAGCAATTATATAACATATGATATAACATATGATATATAACATTAATTAATTGAATTTATATGACTACCTTCAAAACCTTTCAAAACACCTCGTTTCCGTTGTTTCCAGGATCCTCATGGCGAGTTTAACATAGTTTAACAAGCAATGAGTGAAGTGCTCCCCGTCCAAAGTCGTCCTCATCTAAGCGCGACTCGAGGGCCACAGAGGGCGCCAGGAGCACGACCAGGATCAAACGGGACAACTGAGGCAGCGAATGTTTCAGGATAGCTGTTGCAAGCTGTTGCCAAGGATGTTCAAGGATGGGCAAGGATGGCGACGATTGATTTCGTTGGAAAAAAATATGGAAAGAGGAACTCACACCTTCACTCCTGGTGATGTTTGCATCCAAATCACAACAGCGTACCTTTCAGGATCCTAGCTTCCACACGGATTAGATCCAGTTCTCGAGCCCGATTTTTGCACACAAGCTGCTATTCCTATTCCGACAGCATTCTCAAGATTCAGATTTCCTCTTAGCCGCTTGGATGATGTAGATATATGTAGATATCAGGCAAATCCATCCTGCAGAAACTGGCCAAAAACCTCGCCCTTTCATTCCGGCCAAGGTACCATGATACAAAAGCGCTTTCTTTGAGGCTTTGAGATGGAAAGCTGAATGGTCAAACATGCACATGCAGATCACATGCAGCAATGCACCACCCTACCTTATGTCAAATGTATATTCAAATATTGTCAAATAAAGCCAAATGCCTCACAGATGGAGCAGATCTTTGTAGTACTCTTAACCGAGCAATCCCTTCATTGAAGCCGACCGTTCGGCCCTGTCCAGCCCTGTAGACGGCCCGTTTTTTACGCTGAGGACCAAGCCCATCTGGCTGAACCTGTGCCGCAACCACTCCAGCGGAGAATGGCATATTCAAATGTGCATCATGACCATCCTGATTCTGCATACCCTCTGGTAAACGTTAACAAAAAACTATGGAAAGATCCACCATGCTATTAATGGGTAAATCCACTATTTCTATGGCCATTTTCAATAGCTATCTTTGTTTACCAGAGGGTACATTGCATGCTCGCAACATCTCGCAACCAGCCTTCCATTGTCAGTCCATTCAGTCCATTTACAGCCACTGGCGTCACACCATGTCACACCTGCTTTTCCATGAAGCCCAAAAAGTTCTTTGCATGGGCTGGATGCCCTGCCGCAGCCATAGCCTAACGACTTGGGTCAATGGACCCACCAAATGAGCGAGTCTTATGTAGTACACATTTAGTACACTAAACATCACTAAACCAGCTATACAATGCTATATATTATGATATATTATGGAAGGGACATGGGGAGTCTCGGGTGATTTTCTTCCACAAAAATAGCGTTTCGGTATACCGATGATGTGGTCTGAGAAACACAACTCACATAGACCAGTTGTCCTGCCTACAAAACGAACTTGGTTTGGCAAATTGCAATGCAATAATAAAGCCATCACTTTGCCACTAGCGGCATCTGGTGGAGTTGTCCAACACAGTAGTAAAGCCATACACGACAAAATCTGGCCTCAAGCGCTTTGTTGTAAAGGCCGGCAGACAGCATTGTGCCTGTACACAGAAAATTGAAGTGTGCATACTGGGAACAACTAGCAGCAGGTGTCTTGTCGTGCGAAATCTGAAGGCAATCTGCACTCATCAACATTACCCGGACTTTCTGACCTTTCGTCGAAGCACAATTTCAGAGTTCAATACATTTCATACAATTTACCCTCTGGTAAACTAACATAACTGTGGAAAATGACCATAGAAAATATATAGTGGAATTACCCATTAAAAATGGTGATTTTCCATAGTTTTTTGTTAACGTTTACCAGAGGGTACAGTAATGTGCGTCCGGTTTCCTGCTCGTCCAATCTCTGGGTAGTATCATTGCTGAACCAAGTGTTCAAGCGCATAGAACCAAAAAAACAAAACCTCTAGACCTTCAAATGGCAATGAAGCGTCGTGCTGTGACTCGGGATATTTGATTGACGCCATCCAATATAAATCATGATAAATCATTGTAAGCTTCATATTGCTTGATTTATTTGATTTGAAGTAATATATCCCCCTCAATCCAAGCCCTGGCCTGAATCCAAAATATGCTGGTAGGATTTTTCCACGTCAGAAACATCGCCCGTTTCGGCATATCTCTGAAGAATCTGAGTGATCTCCTCCTGCAGTAGGAAATTGTTTCGGCTACCCGGGGCCAGTTCTCAGTCTTCAAGAAAGAGAAGACAAAGAGAAAAGGTGAAGACAGGTGAAGCATCAATAGACTGAACATCTTGAACCATGTTGGACCCAGATCTCCTGAAACAGACCTCTGGCGCTTTTTCATTTGTTCAACAAGATTTGCATGGCACTTTCGAAACAAGTTGCACAGAAAGTTAAACCTGCACGGAGACAAGAAGATCAACAAGACTGCTAAAAAGCAGATATCTACCTGTACCAGTCATCTATCTTGCTCCAACATGTCAGCAAAGGACAGGCAAAGAAATGGAATGGAGAAAGGAAACTATGATTTACCCAGAACTGCTAGCATTTAGTTTAAGGGTGTTTCAGGCTGTCAAACTGACCATAAACAGGACACTGCCACAAAGCCTCAAAAGATCTCAAAAGCGTTCAATTCAAGTCCTTGATTGGAGACGTTCCGTTAGCAAGCCTGCAAAAGTCCAAAGTCACAAAGTCAATCGAGGCTGGAAGTTCTGGAAGCCAAAGAAAACAGTGCGGATCCGTTTCCAAAGTGTCCAAAGAGTGGCATGCTACACCTCATCCTTGTAGCCACAAGAGCTGATTCTTGCACCCGGGGTGGTTTCAACCCATCCAAAATCGCTTTTTTTGGTTGATACACATTCAAGACATTCTTGTTTTTGCTAATAAAGAAAGGAAAAATTAGCAATAATTGATACACATAATTAGTCGGATCATGATTCCAGGAATTCCAGGAAGTAGACAGCAACTTTTGTGCAACGCTTGGGATCTTTCGGCCTGCCTCGTTCCCAGCTTCTCAGTGAGAGCTGACCGGAAAGATCGTGGCCGATCGCATCCAGGAAGCCTGGAACTAGTGGAATTCACCAGGCGATTCACCAACTTTGCCAGTTCTATGCAACTGGCCAAGGCTGCCTTGAGCCTTGATTCGCCATAATCATATACAATAATTATCAATATAATTAATATGATGTTTGCCTAATATTGCCCAAAGATGTTGGATTCTTCAAAGATCCCAAAGAAACCTTCGTTTTAAGCAACATCACCGCACCCCCCGACTGCAGCCCTAAGCCCTACGCAGCCCTACGCAGCGCACGCCATCGTTTCGCGGCGAATTCTCAGTCCGACTCACTGGTTGAGCTCTCGGAGCTCGAGTTGTCATGTCGACCTGGGCATCTCCACCTGGGGCATCCCACTGGGCTGAAGCAGTGAGTAGGTCACACAACATGTCAGTATGTCAGCATGCCACAGCACTATACAATGATTTATACTAATTGAAACTATATAGTCTTATATAGTCATTATATAGTCATTGTAACTTAAATTATAACATCCATTAAGTCTCCCTTAATTAATCTTGAGAGGATTTCTTTGGGCGCAGCATTTTGCACGCCTGGCAAAGTAGCAGATCAGGGCGTGGCGCACTGGGTCAAGGGAGTTGAAGGGCACGGTGAGGAGCCACAGGGCGTGAGTGCGATCGAAGTTTGGAGCTAAGACCTGGTCACAACCACACCAGGTGGTAAGGCACTGCTCGGCAGGCATGATGGTAAAGAAGAAGATACCCATACAAAAGCACACCATGAGCATCCACATCAGAGCAATGCCAACGTAGAGCAAGAAACCAGGAATCAGCAGAATTGCTTTGATCACTGTGTGACTTCGAAATCGCAGCTTATTGCAGCAAAAGCAAGTGCTGCAACACACCGTCAACAATGTCAGGGGTGAGATCAGCAAACATGCAAGCATGATCAAAAAAGCCAACATCACGAAGATCATACGAAATGGAAACGTCATGACTTTGAGGCAGGTGAAAACAAATCCTGGCGTTGTCGTTTCGGTAATGTCCGGAAAGTGATTGCATCCTGTAGCAGAATAATGATCCATGACTCCATCTGAACCGCCAATGATCTCTTGACCACAGACCCAACACCAGTGACACCTGCAGCTATTTTCGATACAGGTCATGTGGTTGCAACCACCTGTCCTTGCGGTGTGTAGTCCACACCTTGGGCATGGCTTCGTATCTGCTAAGGCACCATTCTCCATCTCCTTCAATTGTTTGGAGATCTCTCTGCTGTACTCATCACAAGGGCGACCAGCATGGGCATTTGAATGGTAGTAGCAAAAATTGCATCTGCAGGCTGGGCAAATCATCTCTGCACGGATCTCCCCCTGCACCATAGTTGGTTTACACATCTGCCCACATTGTGGGCATTCTCTGATGGTATCATCTTGGCGAATCTCTTTGAAGCGCTGATACTTTGCATAGGTGGCTGCATCTGTAAGCCGCAAAACTTCATCATCGTTAGCACGTGCATTGCAGTCACACATTGCCCGGCGGGCGCACGTGATGCTAAAGACTTGTCCTGACTCTACACGTTCTTTAATCCAGTGGCGTGTGCAGTCCCTGCAGCAGCCATGCTTGGGGTCACGACAGTCTCGGAAAACGATTCTTTCATGCAAAGGCAAATTCGATAAACATATCATACACTCGAAGGTTTCCACAGGTTGGCCAACCACCTGAAGTGCTGTACCTTGGGGGCCAGTGACTGCCAGTGGGCATCAGGAGAAACATGAAGAGAAGAATACAATCAGTTTAAAGATTGTGTCAGGCCACAGTATGCGTATGACCATGATTTTGTCACTCTAAGCAGTAAACAGTCAAGACATGTCAAAACATCAACAGAATCATACCCCATAGGATCCATGTATGCTATATATGGTAACATTTACCATCAATGTACCCCCAATGTTAGCATATATACCATACATAGATTCTATGGGTACTGAATCATACTCAACATACACTTCAAATGCCAAGATATGCCAAGATATGCCAAGATACGTTGGACTGCTTCCCATCCTTGACGGGCCAAGTCCCTTGATATCCCCCTCCCTAATTGAAGGTTGGGAGCATGTATGAAGTGTACTGGCGGTGCGCCAGTGTGCACCACCTGTACCGGTGCCCGCACGATGGGCGTTCCGCGCGTTCCGGGCGTTCCGGGTGGCCGCACAATCAACGGGGCGACTTGGGCTCTGTTCGCCATGACACAAAAATCATCAAAAATCTAAATCCCGAGCCAAAGAGCTGAACTGAGACCCAGTCTCCAGAAATCATCAGAAATCACAAGAAATCCCGATCCGTTTTTCTGGCAAGATTGTCACGGTCCGAATGGAAGCTCAGCAACTCTCCAGTCAAAATGATCAAGAGATATCAAGAGTCAATGCAAAAGGAGAGTCAATGCAAGCGTGAACACATCATGTAATGATTATATTGATTATATTGATATTAATCTGTGTGAAGAAACAAAAACAAAACAACATTTGCGACGACAACATCTGACAACTGACAACGGCCAGGCCTTGGAGATAACACAAAGCTCCAAAGACCTGTCGCTCCATTTTTGCACCAAACATGTCGAGAAAAATATGTTGCATAGGCAGCCAGAAGATTTTTCTATAAAGATATATGAAAACAATTATATACATATATTCATATATATATACATACATATATATATATATGACTATATATGTCTGTTTCAAATCTGACGGAGAATTCCAGAGAAGAGGACCGCAGTGAAGTCCAAGTGATAACTGTCCAACTGTCCCATATTTTGATCAGCTACACGGTCAAAACCGAGGTCGTCACTGTGAAAAACGACACCCAAGAGGGCGAATCGAAGAGGAGCGACCTTTCAATGACCCAATGACCCAATGACCCAATGACCCAATACCAAGTCATGTAGGAGTAGAATTATATTTTTTTTTATAACATTATATAAATATAACCCATATGTATATATATATTATATATATATATACGTATATATATTATACAGTCATCCAATGCGTCATGCAGTCCTTCTCAAATCTTCTCAACATGACTTGCTGAAAAGTTTGCTCATAGATTCAAATTTGGATCTGTGGAAACTACATGACATCTATGATATCTACGGTCTATACTACATGATACTACATCTGGTTGGTGGTTTTAACTATCTTGAAAAATATGAAAGTCAGTTGGGATGATGACATTCCCAAATATTCCTAATATATGGAAAAATAAAAAATGTTCCAAACCACCAACCAGACATGGTTGTTTTATGTTGTTTTTCCCCAAATCTACACCAGAATCACCAGACGTCCAGACTTCGGACCGCTCGCTGTGTTGTGTGGTAGGGGACCCCACTCGCCGTCGGCCCCTCTCAGTCTTGAAGGTGAGCATGGCTTGATAAGTGCCACTCAACTCTTTTTGTGCCATGTGTGTGGACACCTGTGAACTTCTGTGTTAGATCATGTCAGATCATGTTAGATCATTTTAGATCATGTTAGATCTGCACGGTGTTCATTCACGGTCTTTCCGCATTCAGATATTCATGATGGCAACTTGGATGAACCCTAATCTGATCCATATGAACCCATCGCGAGTGGAACATGGCCTGGTGATCAGTTGTAACTTGTGTCAACAGCTACGGTGCAAGTAAGACGGAGGAAATGCTGGCGGCCAAGGCGAAAAAACGCAGTGCTCAAGCATCATTGCAGCCTTACATTGACGAAATCACTGAAGCCAATATACATCAATATACTATTCTGTAAACTATTCTGTAAACCAAGATAGATGTCCAAAATCCATGAAAATCCACCATTTCTAGATCAATTTCCCAGTGAAAATATGAACATATGAGGGTTTTAGGAAGTGTTTTCCTACAGAATCTATTTTGCTTTACCCCAGGGTACAGATTGGTCATCGGGGCATGCTCCACAAGTAATGCTGCAACTCTAATCGCCCCTCATGGGTCTTGGCACTTGCTAATGTCTTGCAGGAGATAGAGGGCAAACTTCCCAGCAATGACTTTACAAAACTCTGGGATCTATATAAAGGATTATAAAGGATTCTTGTGTGGAGAGCAGTTAATGTGTAGAGTTTCAAAATGGGATGCAAGCCCTGTGCTTCGGACCCAAATTCAGTAGCTTGCAAGATTTGATTACGGTATGTAGGTCTTGCAGGCAGGTAGGGTGATGCTGACTTAAGCCTGCTTTTCTCTGGCGCTCCCACTACTCAGCACGGGTGCGTCCAAATTCGGGTGACACAAGCGCCATCCGATTCCGAACTTGAAATGAATGCGACACCTAAATACATGGACATACACAGAGATGACAAAATTCAATGAGCTCTCAGATGCTCTATAGTTATCTAAGTTATCTCTACAGATCTCTACAGATCTCTACAGATCTCTACAGATCTCTACAGATCTCTACAGAATTCTCAGATCACTTGGGTGCTCTTGTCATCTCTTGTCCAAGTTGAAGGCGGTCAAGCCGGAACGTGCCCGATGCAGTGGAGATCTAAAGCTCAGCATCGAAGATCGTTTTGGCTCCGGCTCGGTCGCTGCTGGAGCCTCTGGAGTTTCTGGAGCCTTGGCCAAGTCCAGCGCCTGGCGATGTGGTGAGAACCTATTTATGGTCTTAACATGGAGTAGATCCATCAAAATCCATCAAAATATATAACAATTGATTGAGTTATATCATAGTATATCCATCAAATTCCATCAAAATATATAACAATTGATTGAGTTATAATATCATAGTGTATCCATCAAAATCCATCAAAATATATAACAATTGATTGAGTTATATCATAGTATATCCATCAAAATCCATCAAAATATATAACAATTGATTGAGTTATATCATAGTATATCCATCAAAATCCATCAAAATCCATCAAAATTAATATAACAATTGAGTGTTTTGAAATACTGTGCGTGGTTTTATTTCATTAACATGTGCCAATTTTGGAGGCCCAAAATAACCTGCGAAGCATATATGATGCTTGCCCCTTCGTAGCCTTGGTGCCTCTTTACAGTTATTTGTTTGTCAAATAAAAAACCTGCAAACCTTGGGATATGGGATAATCATTCTGTTGCTTATAGAAGTTTCCATGTGTTTCGATTCTGTGCCATTCATCCTCTATCCCCGAAACGATTTTGAAAAGCACTCTGAAAAAAGTGCCATCACCACTTCGGAACGGCTCAAGAAAATTCAGCTTTCACGGATGGATCACAATGGATCATGGCTCAGCCTGCTGTTGCAAGCGTTGCAAGGCTTCCTCTTGCGACTGCACTTCCTCCATTTGCTTCCGCAAACGCTTCTCCAGTTCCTCGTTCTCCAGGTTCAACTGCTTCTCCTATTGGGCGAATTGAATAGCGCTTCCAAGAGTTACTGGTTGGTGGTTTCAACCCCTCTGAAAAATATTGGTCAGTTGGGATGATTATCCCATATATGATGGAAAATAAAAAATGTTTGAAACCACCAACCAGGTTATATCCTGGGAACAATCATATTTTGAACTCTAGCATGTGTGCGATCAACGAACAAAAGGCCAAAATGTAGCCTGTAGCCTTGCACTCTGCTGCAGGGAGGAGCTCTACTTTTCTTGCACGCATTGAGTGACACAATCCGTACAACACAAGTGGATTGAAGCCGCCTTCGCAAGTAGGAGCTTCAGTTTCAAATGTTTGAAGTCTTTAAAGTGGGCTCCAAACATATGAAACATATTCAAAGCCTCAACTTTATGACCACATGCTTTAGAAGTTTCCTCTGACCAGCGAACGCATCTCCTGTTGAGGTATCTTCTTTCGAGCCTGGGAAGGCCTGCAAAGCAGCACGCTCCAGTATCTGAATGCTTGGCTCCCAATCCCTTAGCTCTTGATCGTATGACGCCGGTTTGTTCAATCATGGTGTCACTGCAGGTCGGGGATTTGGGGATTTGCCTTTGACAATGCCTTGAACTTCTCCAACTTGCACAGCTATTTCTTGGTTGCAACTCAGATAGCTAGCCCCAAGCAGCGCATTACCCGAGCATCCAGAAGCCTCTAAGTCTTGCAGTGAGGTATACCCGAGCATAGGTCAAAATGGAGATACTATGTAGTCTACCCTCTGGTTATTTAACATAGCCATGGAAAAATGGCCCCTTTATAGATGGTTTACCTATTAAACATGGTGATTTTCCATGGCTATGTTAAATAACCAGATGGCTATACCAAAACAATTGGCAAATTGATGCAAATTGATGTTCATCCCATATGAAGATGTATTGACCCATGGTCTATCAATGTCTATCATCATTTTCCCCACTCCTAAAAATTGCCATAAAAATATGGTTGAGTTCCCCTTGTTGAGACAAACGTATATCATCTTGTTGGTTGTACATTCCATTATAATATTCCCATATATCGTCATATATATATAATCGTATATGTATATTCCATTACTGTATGTCATCCAATTATATGTAGCATATCTATTTGTCATTATACACCTAATATCCCCTTACATCCCCTATCTTCATCCCCAGATGTTTCCACAGATTTTTCCACCATCTTTTCCCATGACAGCCCTTCACCTGTCCAGCAGGTGCTCCAGCTTCTCGTGAAGGCAGAGTTGCATCTCCCGTTGTTCTTCCAGCAGTCGCAGCACTGTTGCCTGGGCCCGTTGCGGCCAAATCCATCAAACGGAGAATCTGTAGGAAAATTATCTGGTTGAAATGGGAAAACATGATTGTTGTGCTCTCTCAGATTTCACGTTTTGCTGAAATTGTCATAAATTCTCGACCCTTCTGGACCTGACCTGTCTGAGTTTCTTAAGCCAATCGGGTTTGGGGTCATGGTCGTTGATCTCTTTGTACCGGCCGATGAAAGACATCACTTCTCTAAATCCCCACAACCAGACTAGCATTGAATCCAAAGGGATGCTTCTGGAAAATGTAACAAACTAAACTGGACCGTTTGCTTCCCAAGGAGTTATTTCACATGCGCACTTCGAAGAGCTCAACTCCTTCGAAACATTGACAGATGCTTTTGCGACTGTGAAGACAGAGGAAATCTTCTCTTGTACATATGAAAAAGTGTGAAACTGTGTGAAACACATGTTCAAGTCTCATCTTGTCAACTTTAAATAGATTTAAGAGATTTAATGAGTTTGTCATCTTATCATATCTTACATGTGTATATATATATATACAGTGTGTATATATATATATATACACATTATATGTTTGATATTGCTATTACCTGGTCGTTTACCTGGTGATTTCGAAATTGCTCGTTGATACTCAGCGCGTGGCATCATCCATGGGCACCTCCTCCGGCACCTGATCCAAAAATATCCAAAATCACAGGGGAAATGATTCAGAAATCTTCACGGCTCCAGTTCTACCCTCTGGTTATGTCTAACACTTTGCTATTGAAAATGGCCATGGAAATAGTGGAATTACCCATTAAACATGGTGATTTTCCATAGAAATAGTGGAATGAGCCAGCTATAACATGGTGGATCTTTCCATAGTTTTTTGTTAAACGTTTACCAGAGGGTATATGTTCGATCTAAAAAAAAACTGGAATCATTCTGCTTCAGGTTTCACCATGTGTCACCTGTTTCAGCTGGTTTCCAAGCTGGCTTCCAACTTGGCTCCCAACCTCCGGAGGGTTGGGCCTTTGGGCACAGAGGATTTCTGAAAAAAAATCGTCATAGGATACCCTCTGGTAAACGTTAACAAAAAAATATGGAAAGATCCACCATGCTATTAATGGATAAATCCACTATTTCGACTGGGCCATTTTCAATAGCTGTGTTAGTTTACCAGAGGGTATTCAGAAATGTCAGTCTCGTTTGAATTCTTTTGACATGATCAACATATATCAGCATGATCTACTTCAAAGGTCTTTACACCTCAGCAAATTGTGCAACTTGCTGCTTTTTGACTGAGCCTTTCTGCAGTGGGCCAAGATTAATCATCGTCACTCTCTGCTACTTCCTCGCAAAGATGCAGGTAAGCACTAACGAAACGCTCGCAGCCACCATCTCTGCAGCAAAAGATGCACATGGCTAATACCGTGGCAGGAACATAGAAGAAGACTAGGCCGAAGTAAAAAGGCTGCCAACCAGAAAGATCTTTCGCTGCCTGCACGGGATCGCCCAGATGAAGCAAGGGTAAATCTGCCGGGAAGTCCAAATGGCCAAAAAGTGTTGGTGACTTGGTCTGGAAGTTTTTCGCTGCCAGTAACAATCCTTGATGCAGCTCATTTAAACCATCGTCAGCACCGTTGTAGCCGCCAACCATGCGACCTAGAGTTGTGACCCAGCCACAAAGTCCACCTGGGTCGGGGTCGGGCTCATCACACCTAGGGACTCCCAGAGTAGCAGCAGTTCCGTTTGGATTGATCCATGAGTCGGGTTCATCTGCTCGAGCAATGTCCCATGCACAAATTTCCCATGTGCAATCTGTGACATCTGTGCAATCTGCTCGAGGCACGATAGGGCGAACGCGGAAGCTGCATGAATTCCAGGGCCCCTTGGTATTCAACCGGGTGCACTTGTGGACATTGACCTGAAATGTATCAAACAGCATCCCATTTCTGGAGATCGCCCCATTTCTGAAGTAGAGACCGCGTGTGGAATCCTTCCACTCATTGGTGTCACATATACCGAGGCCCCGCATCGGAGATTGGCTAAGTTGCCAATACTGATGGATCGGTGACTCGTCGCTGGTGGACAGCGCGAAGATTGAAGAGAAGAGAAACAACCAACAAATTGAACTGACGCAAACGCATGGACAAACCACCTTTTCGTGCATCCTGCTGATAAAGACATTGGAAACAGCCATGAAGTTGATCAGGAATCCTCCGCAGAACAAAACGATCAAACAAAACAGGCACAACAAGCCAGTCATGCCAATCCCAAAATGGTTGTAGACGAAACCAAGATGATTGACTGCATAAATCACGACAAAATAGGGAAATAAGCTCAAGCACCCAAAGAGCGTTGGAGTTTCAATTTCAGGCGTCACGAAGGCTTCAAAGATTTGCCGTCTCATTGGCCACACCTACGGCAGTGTTCTGCGACGTGCTGTGCAGCGTGGCTCTTTGGCCGAGAAAAATGCATGAGATCCGACACCGTGAAGCAGCTCCGTCAACTTGAGAAATGGATGCCTTTCATAGTGAGCTATGTCAAGCTGTATTTCTTGAGGGTCGATGATCATTTTTCAGGTGGATCATTCTGGTAGGATGATCTGGATCCTCAAAACAAGCATTGTAAGACAACATCATGTTGCCAAGAATGTCCTTTAAACAGAGAAAAAAACATGAAAACCCGATCGTCGGGCTGTGTGTGACAGATACAAACACCCTATTCTCATCCATCTCAACAAAAAGTTCAAGCCTGTTGGTGAATTCAGTGCCAAATTATGCAATGGATTTCTTGGCCAATGGCCCCTCTTCACTTTTGCCATCTCTACACTCTCTTACCCAATGACGTTGTATCCGAATTGCTGCCAAAGAAAAGTTCAACGAGCCGTGACCCTTTCAGATACCAACATCCTTCTGCAGGGACAGTCATCCACAGGTGAAGTTAAGAAATCATAGTGGCTCAGAAAATTTGTGATTACCACATCTTAGCTACATGTTGTTACACCTGGATCTGGTTTTCCAATCCAACCAACAGAGAAATCTGAATATAGGTTTGACTCAAAGTGCGGGATAACCCGATTTTTTTGAGACAAACCCACATGTGCCATGGTCAAAACTTGGGTAGATTGCCATGGTTTGGGGGATTGTCATCAAACAACAGAGATTTATGATGATTTTTACGTATACGTATCATGTGTATATATATATACCCTCAAAATCCAACTACGAAGTTTAACTTAGCATTTCTGTAGATTCGAAGTTTAACTTAGCATTTCTGTAGATTCGAAGTTTTACCACCAAATACGAAGATTTACTGAATCCAGCTTTAACATAGGAGTTATATGAATATGTTTCAAAGAGGAAGGACCTTTTTTTTCACTTGGCTCTGTTGGCCAACTCTGGCAGTTTCCACAACAGGGTTCTTAGCCTCATACGGCTTAGCCGCGAGACTACCATTTCCCTTTTCTTACCAATGCTCCTCCTGGCCCATTTCTTCAATTGGGACATTTGATCTTCATCTGCAAATGTATGGGTGAAACGTGGATTGAGTTGCAGGCGTTTCGCATCAACACATACGTGGGAGAATGCCTCCGCACTCGTGTCAATCAGACTCAACAAAAATATTATGAGGGATCCCAAAAATGAAATTCCCAAATGTTAAAGATGATAAACTTAAATTGATTGAACACCACCAAGAGACATGCCACTTTGGAGTGAGCACCCACGCCAGATCATTCATTGAGGAACTCATAGAATTGAGCTGTCGATAAGCCAGCAAATAGGTTCTCCCAGCTCGTTCAATTTCAGACGCTTGATACAGTGTCCTGGGCAACAACATTGGCAGACCAAAGCTTGGAATTTGGGACCCAATTTGGAGTGGGTAGTGTGGAATCTAACCAAATTTATAATATCAAAGACCCAGATTTGAGATAACCTTACTAACCCTTTTGTCACCCTCTGCCACGGACGATGCCATGATGGTGATTGTGCTGACAAAGCTCAACTTCCTTGAGGTGCGCTCTGTTAGTCCAAAGTATCGGTTGATGGCTCTCCTGGGCTGAAAGGTTGACAGCTGCATGTAGAGGTAATTTAATTTGTTGAAATTTCCCCAGCTTCGGGAACATTGGGAAAACGAATTCCTGAATCGAGCGAGTATAAGAAAACTACTGTAGATTGAATAAAATATATCCCCATTATTTACAGTGCTTTATAGTTGCCCATAGTTACCAACTTATCCACAGTATATCGTAGCAATCCTAGCCTGTCAACATTCGGTAGAAAGATCTTTTGCAGCAAAACTTGGACAGCAAAAGCAAACCCCTGCCCCACGCGTCCTTTTTTGATCTTTTTTGATTTCTCATATTTGCAGCCCGCGGTAGTCTAATTCACGCAGATTTGGCATGGCATTTTCTGAACACTGCTTTGCCTTAAGTGTTGGCAATCCGGATCCAGATGAAAACAATTTCCAGTCTTGGTCACATAAACGGTGAAACTGCTAGGTTTGCTACCACCCTGAGACTTCCTCAGTTCAGCAATTTGCTTTCGCAAGTGCACATTCTTTTCACTCAACGTGTCAATCTCCACCTTCAATGATATGATCTCTTGAACTCGGCTTGTCTCAGAAGTGTTGGTTTTTGCCATCAATTTTTGTCGGAGGTCGTGCTGGTCCTTCTCGTCCAAGTCTGATATTTTTCGCATAAGCTGTTGGACACTTGTCGATTTTCTAGCACAAAAAAGGCCAGTGACAAGATACTCCTTCAAGAAGTTGACACACCAAAGTAGCACCACCCCAGTGGACACAATCACTGATACTAAGATCGAGAAAATGATAAGGTACCAATCCCACAAAGGAATCTCACCAACGTCAGCGCTCTCCCCCACTGGCGTGGCCATGGCTGCGACAGGTAAGTGTGATATCTACCTACTATGCAGAAACATGGATAAAGCTTGCTTACACTTTATTTTGTTCATTGAGAACTCTTTGGACGCATGATTTGCCAATGTTGCTTTATAAGACTTCCTGCCAGCAAACACAGCAAACGAACGAATCAAACATGCACACTTCCAAGGGTCGGCAAATAGCAGGCTAACTATCCAATCTTTATCCCGCCCAATATAAATAACAATGCCGCCAAATCTCAAAGCAGTTTCCGAAAGTTCCTGTCTTGGATCAAGACCTTGAAATTCAGGCTGTTGATTGACCTCGATCAGCTTGTACATCAACCACTCGCTTACCACTCGAGCGTTGTAGCCCTTGCAGTTCAAAAACCATCCATAGGTGGTCTCTCTGACCAAGGACTTAGCTGAAAACCTTTTCTGGGAACAACCAATTTTCATGGATCGCCTCCACATTGAAAATTCGTTGTATGCTTTTTCAAGTGGTTCCACATAGCCACCGGCAGTGTCACCAAAAACTCCCATGTTGAGCATCATCCCCCTGGTAGTTTTGTTGAAAATGGGCAAGAAACATCCAGAAACATTCAGAAAAAAACATATCAGATATGACACTCTTAGTAAAAGGAATCCCCACAATGTTGACAGCACTCCAATTTTAGATGAGTAGCAGCACCGAGCCATTGGAAATTCCAAGAAGGGTTAGGTTCACAATGTGGAGAGTGCAATGTTTCAGCAAGGAGACGTCGAAAAAGTATAAGTCGATCAGTGGACCTTGAGAATCCAGCCACACAGCAACATTAAGCCAAAATATTTTTTTTGAAACCACAAATCCCATTTCCACACCTAGAAAATTTGAACAGGAAGTTGAGCTCTAACAAAGTGGCATGCATCTTGATCAGGAAGCTCCTCAAGCAGAAATTGCTCCGTGGTGCGTACTGTCGTGGCCCAACCGTCATTGGATTCATAGATACAATAGTTTAGTGGTCCCGGTTCAGCAGTAGCCTTGCATCGAAAGCAAACTTTGGTGGCTTTCCACCATGACTTATGGCGAAACAAGTTCTTGAAAAATGCTTGGTCACCTCGAAGTTCTGACACTAGGAAAATGGTTCCATTGATGCCCTCCTCAGTCAGCTTGTTAAAGGACTTGACAATCTCTTCCAAAACTGGGTAGATAGTATCCTTAAATGATACTACCTTGTCTGTTTCGATACTGAACACTTGGTATCTGCTCAGCCGCGTAGACCGTGGACGGAACAGGGGGCAGTTGACTGTGAACCCAAGTATTTTGTTCATCGGATTGTTCTGAATGGCCATGACCGCTTCGTCCCCATAAAACCCCAGAGGCCAGACTTTGCCTCCATGAGCTTCCCGAAACTCTCGAGTGGAACAAGCCCATGTATCTCCAACGTTTTCCAAATGCTCCCAGAAATCTTGGACAAGCCTGTCCCCAAGTTGAAAACTGCATTTGTTCAACAAATAGTCGAAAATGTCCCAAGGAAGCTGCACTGGTAGAAGCTCTTCTCCAACAGAATCGTCTGCCAGTTTTATGGGCACCTTGATGTACAATGGCTCCTAGGCTAGTTGTTGGCAAACAGGGTCCAGCCAGGAATGTTGAATTAGGTAACAGGCCAGCAATGGAAAAGAAAACAAAAACATTTTTTCTGAGTCTATAAAAGTGCAAGTGTCAACAGGAAGTTCATTGTTGCGAAAATAATCTCGAGATTCGTTGCCGGTGGAATAGCCAGCCAGTTTTTCAGTGAATTCTGTGGTATTGCCTTTTGCCTCCTTAAAATGCAGAGGCAGGTTTGGCATTCAACAAAACTTAGTTTCACAATCTACTGGGGTCTGCTTTGGATTTGCTATTGTTCACTGATGCTCCTTAAAACCAAGCGGCTGCATATGTTGATCTTGCTGACTTCATCACAGCATTTGCACTTGAATCCTCAATGCAATGACACACACACACACAAACACTAGAACTCCCAGACAAACAGACCAACCACCCCTCCACACACAAAAATCGAACTCTCTCCTTCTAAAACTCCAGCAAGATACTCCACTAGCAATACGCTCGCAGAGGTCCTTCTCCAGTGGTCCGAGCTCTTTCCGACCTGCGGGGGCATGCATGTATACTCAAGAACAATGCCTTTTGAACATTAAAAACCTGTGTATGTATGTTGGTTGCAATGTGCAATCAGCACCTCACGCTCCTAATTTTTTCTTTGTCAATGAAATGCGGTCACGCATGGTCACGCGATGAGGGATGAAAGCAGCTGCTGGCAGAGACTTGCTAAATAAGATATGGTGCACATGTGTGTTGCAAATAACTGTATGGGCTTTACATCACACAGCCCCGCAGCAGCGTTGCAAACGAGATTAGGAGCACACAGTGAGCCCCCATGGTGTATCCCCTAGGTCACCGGTGGACCCAAACACCTGCTGCACCTGTGCTGTGACACAGCAGCCTGACTCTTTCTTTGAATCAAATATATCACATAACAAAAATGACAAACCTTTTTCAGATTTCAGACCCAAATCTCATCATTGTGATGACCTGTTACTCAACAAAGCAATTGTTCTTGAATGCTTTTTTGGGCTACGCGTCTGAGAAACTACGTCACAAAATGTCGCCTATCTCCAAGCCAAACTTTTTTTTTTGGCTTTCTTAACCTTCAATGGCTCAACCGCAACTCCCAGCTCTACACGGGCCGCATCACAGGCATCGATCAAGGAGCGAACAACCTGCCGGACAGAAATTGCACATATGACACGTATGATGGATTTCCAAAAGCTAAATGGGTACAAAAATGTAGAAAATCACAGCTAGAAAAACCCAGCCTTGTCATCATCCACAGCTTTTTGAAGTTCTGCACGTGCTGCCTCCACAAGCAAAAAAGTTGAAAGCATATGAAAGAACCTAATCCCCATCCCGTGAACCACCCCGCCTCGCAAGCCTGCTTTTTTGCATCATAGTCTGCCTTCACAGACTCTTGGTACTTGTCACTCCTGACGAGCCCCGGGGCACAAGATGATATCCAGGAAAGCATTTAGAAACAGAAAAACTAAATGTTGGAAAATTACAGGTGTGTAGGCGTGTCTCAAGACTTTGGTTTCAAGATCCAAAAAATCCTGAGGACTAGGCAGTTGTGAGATGTTCGGCAGCAAGCCAGTCGCAGTCTTCAACTTGCTACTGGCATCGGAAATGGCCTGGAGGGATGAAGAAACAACACAGGATTCTCACACTATACGGATTTGAACATATCCATGATATATATGCATATATGCATATAATGGGTGCCTTCTTTGCCTCTTTCATAAACTGTTTTTGACTTTCCTTCTGAAGCCTTACTCTCTGTTGTTCTGGTGTCTCTTGCGACTCACCCTTGCTGCCAATCTTGTTCTTGCCCTGGCTCTTCTTCTCCTGGTGTAGGTCGACCAGATTGTGATGGATCAAAAATGGTTTTGTCTTTATCCCCCCGCCTTCTTACTCTTATCTTTTTTGTCCTTTTTGCTCTTCTTGTCTTTCTTGTCCTTCTTGTCCTTTGAATCCTTTGGCTTTTCATCCTTAGAATCCTTAGGAGGTGACTTCCTTTTTCGGCACGAAGACGAACTGCTGCTGCTGCTGCCAGAATCCTTGTCAATGCAACTGTAAAGTCGCTCGATCTCTTCACACACCTCAGTATCTTCAGCATCTTCGCATAGGCACAAGTACTGTCGGAACTCCTGGCAGAACAGCATTGATGATTGCAAGTTGAATGAACACAGAAAAGGAAGCAATGAAAAAAACAACCAGGAGTCTCCTCTTTTTGTGGTAGCTCGGGATGGAATCTCGTTTCCTTCTCCCACAAAGTGGCGTCATTGGCCTTGTGTTGACGCATGGCATCAGCAACGTGGCTGCCAAATGCAGCATCCATCTCACCTGACAACATCCATTTTCGAGTCCCTCGTTTCTTGTTTGTGTGGCGGGTTTTGATGTTGAGGTAGAATGCAGATGTACTCCACTGGCCCTCAGCGCACTGCACCCACGCGTCAAACAGCACAGCATTAAGCGATGAACCTGAGCCGGAATGAAAGCGACAAAGGTTTTTGAAGAACACAAACTGAATCCCCCATATTTGATTGTCTAATAACTTTATCGTTCTAACTGGGTCTGGTCAGGGATGAACCGGGGAGAACAAGTGAGGATAGAACCATGGCTGCAGGAATGGTGCAGATGGCTTTGGGTATCTTTGGGTTTACCATGGTTTACCACATTACTGATTTCAATGGGCATGGCCATGATAGAAACCACTTTTAAACATGTTTTTTAACCATTTTCAACCACAAAGATGGTGATTGCTTGGGATTTCCCATGTAGACGATTCGCGTTGTTATTCAGGTGGAGTCTATTCGCAGAGCAGTGGCCCAACAGAGACGAGGTGCCGAAAGATGACGACTGTTGGTGTCCCAGAGAAGTGATATAGATGTTTATAATTGTATTAAATTAAATTATAAATATAAAATGAGGACATAAATCAGTTGAGGGGCTGCCCTTGGCTTCTTGCCCCATCAGCCGAAGTTCTCGAGGAGTGTCTTTGTCTCGGTACACTAAAAGGATTCTGCAGGATAGTGCAATTGTATGACTTGGAATTTGATCAAACATGAGATTTAGAATTGCAATCTGAAATAGATGTGATATCTTAGGACAGTACGTCGAATGTTTCGATAGTACCTCATGTAGCGGGCATGGGCAGAAGCTTTCTTCTGCGCCAGTTCTTTTTTCTTCCTTTCTTCCTCGGTGTTGTCAACAAGTGCTTCTCCATTGGTCTCTTTGCCCTCTTCTTTGCCCTCTTCTTTGCCCTCTTCTTTGCCCTCTTCTTTGCCCTCTTCTTTGCCCTTTGCTTTTTCTAACGCCTTTTTTGCTTGCTCCATCATCTCTTGGGCAACTTTCATTGCCTCCTCAGCTTTTTGCTTCTCTTCTAGGGCCTTGTTGTGTTCCGCATGTCGCTTTGCATCGTCTGGTTTCTTATTCTCAACCTCACCTTTCTTCCTCTCCTCTTCAGCCTTTGTTGTCTTCTTCGCATCCTCTGCTTTCTTTCTCTCCTCTTCGGCCCTCTTTGCCTCCTCTGCCTTCTTTCGCTCCTCTTCTGCCTCTGCTGTCTTCTTCGCATCTTCAGCTTTCTGTCTTTCCTCTTCAGCTTTCTTCGCATCCTGTGCTTTCTTTCTCTCCTCTTCTGCCTCTGCTGTCTTCTTCGCATCTTCAGCTTTCTGTCTTTCCTCCTCTGCCTTCTTCGCATCTTCTGCCTTCTTTCTCTCCTCTTCTGCCTCTGCTGTCTTCTTCGCATCTTCAGCTTTCTGTCTTTCCTCCTCTGCCTTCTTCGCATCCTCGGCCTTCTTTCTCTCCTCTTCGGCCTTCTTTGCCTCCTCTGCCTTCTTTGGCTCCTCTTCAGCCTCTGCTGTCTTCTTCGCATCTTCAGCTTTCTGTCTTTCCTCCTCTGCCTTCTTCGCATCCTCCGCTTTCTGTCTTTCCTCCTCTGCCTTCTTGGCATCCTCAGCTTTCTTTCTCTCCTCCTCAGCCTTCTTCGCCTCCTCTGCCTTCTTTCTCTCCTCTTCGGCCTTCCTTGCCTCCTCTGCTTTCTTTCTCTCCTCTTCTGCCTCTGCTGTCTTCTTCGCATCTTCAGCTTTCTGTCTTTCCTCCTCTGCCTTCTTCGCATCCTCTGCTTTCTTTCTCTCCTCCTCAGCCTTTTTGACATCCTCTGCTTTCTTTCTCTCCTCTTCGGCCCTCTTTGCCTCCTCTGCCTTCTTTCGCTCCTCTTCAGCCTCTGCTGTCTTCTTAGCATCTTCAGCTTTCTGTCTTTCCTCTTCAGCTTTCTTCGCATCCTGTGCTTTCTTTCTCTCCTCTTCAGCCTCTGCTGCCTTCTTCGCATCCTCTTCTTTCTTCTTGTTTGCCTCTGCCTCAGCTGTCTTTTGCGTTTCCTTTCCATTTGCATCTTCTAGCTGCTTCTGCTGTTGCTCAGCCTTAGCGATCATTGCCTTTGCATGTTCAAGCAATCTTGCGGCCTTTTCTGCATCCTGCTTTGCATTCTGCATGATGCGTTGGGCTTCTGCTGAAACCCAAGAGGTGTCACTGAGAGAGTCAAAGTCAAGATGTTTGCTGAGTTGTTCTCCGGTATTGCACCGGCCAAGTTGTTGTGCCACCAAACTTGCTGATGGCCCTGCGCTGCTCACATCGCTCAAGTCACTCGTGCTGTCCAAACGGTTCAGCCTGGCGGCTGGTGAACAAGAACCTTCACTCTTTGAACTTGGCGTTGTGGAGATATCCCCTTCACGAAGTTGTTGTAGCACACGTTGGTTGTGATCTTTCCACATCATTTCTTCTTGGATCTTCTCCACATCTTCTGCTTCATAGGGAACAGTCAGCTGAGAATCTATCATTGAGTCTTTCTTGTCCAGACCTTTCATGTCCCCTAGAGTTGTCTTGTCCGTGTTGTCCTTGTTCGCCTCTGCATCATTTTGACCTACCTTTTCTCTCACCCTTTTGACCACCACTTTCTTGATCACTTTTTTCCCACTGCCTGGCAGCTCCAATATGGCAAAGCCGTTGTGGGTGATAACATATGTTGAATTTTGCAGATGATACGCCCTTAAAATTTGTTTCGTGCCACCCAATGCATTTTGTTCAACTCACATGAATTTGGGAACCTTTGGAATCACCACAGTGTGGAAAAATGCTGGAAATACACCATTTTTTATTGAACTCTTTTTGGTGTTCATCCCAACTTCCATCAAGTCACAGTCTGGATCGATCAGACCTTTTCTATTTATGGCCATTAGATTGTATTTTTTAAATTTTGGTGCAACAGATTACTTCACCAAGTCTTTTTTGGGGTGCCACAGAACCTGGCCTGCAGAACTGCGCGAAGGTGGGGATGCTACACCACCAGTGACATCATCTGGAACAGGCTCGGTGGTGCCCAGATTGACTCGTTGAAGCCGTGCCCGGGCCTTTTCAAGGCTCTGCAACAAATCCTTCTCTTCCATTGGGTGTGAAACAGACCCAGCTAGTGGTTTGACCAAAATAGGCTGCTTAAGTATCAACTTCCAATTCCAATCTCACAACCAAACCACGATTTCTGTGTGAAAAAAAATTGAACTCACAACACATGCATCTGACGCTCTTTGAGAAATATAGTTTTTCACCTTTCAGCTTGAATGGAACTCAGAATCCGCTGGCAACAGGAATAGTCGAGGCAGTTTGAAGCACACAGATTTGACAAAATAGGTCGTATTCCAGGGGCTCCAATTTCACGCACTTTCACGGGTAAACTTGGTATTTCACGGTTAAACTTGGTATTTCACGCAGGTTTCACGCTATTTCACGCGTAGCTGTTTTGAACCACTTCTCAATAAAATGAAAAAACCTGGTTGACTGACCATGAATGGTGCCTCGCCAGCAATTGCAATGGCAGGCAAATGATTGCCATGCCACATCTTCGGCCAGAAGCAGGCCAATTTCGCTGCAGTATGTCTCAGGGAGCTTACACTTACCACCAGTTGCTGGATAAAACTGCCCCAAACATCCTAAAGTCAGCCACTTGTAGGGAATGGCCCACATCTTTTAAATTGCAGACTTAAGGCAATGACTTATTGGTTGCATGTCCTCCCCCAAGACTCAGTTGTGCCATAGCACTATGATGATTTTTTGCAAATCAATTTCTTCAGCTGTGGGAGCCGTGCTTTCTTCCAAGCTCCAGGATGTTTAGCCTCATTTTCCCACCCGGAAAGCCACAAATCATCATGAAGGTATCTATTTTGCCACTGTTAAACAAGTGTAAATGATTTTGATAAAAAATTACTCAGCATAAACCAATTGTGGCTCCATGGGTCAGTGGTTCTTAGATAGGGGAGGAACCCGGCTCAAATATATGCAGTATATCTTCATTCGGGACATTTCAAGACCAGGTTTAACAGTGTTTCCATACTTCTGGGTTTGGACAGAAACAGAAATATCTGGGAATCCCAGCTGGCATTTGCTGGCCATAACGAACTTTGTACCACAATGTCTTCACTGCGGCTTGAAGTTGCAAATCTTCAGACGAGTCCTGGCCACAGCGGTGATTTGGCCCCATAACATAAAGAACCCTGAAGTAGGAACCTGTGGAATTTGGTCGTAGCATAATCCACCAGATTTTGAACTCCTTAGGAAAGCTCAAAGGTAATGAATTGGGTAGCCCACTTCTTTTGTTCCTTGTGTAGCACTATTTGTGGGTTAAAAGAAACTTAAACCACCTATTTGAGGTGAAGAAGCGGATATCCCTGTAGGGTTTTGGTTGGTCCTGTCAATCTTGATGTTTTGGGAAGTACATACATTTGATCAAACCTGGGCCATAGATAACTAAGGATTAATTTAGAGATAAACCAGCACTCTGGGCTTTCTGTTTGGCATAACCCATCCCCAAGGGTCCATAAGGAGCTCATGAAGAGAGCACACCCTCTTGCCAAATCCACGTGGATAAACCTGCGTAGCACGAAGGTCTGGGCCACCACTCCTGAGACAGAAACATGGGCTCTTTTGATTGATCTAGTAACCCTGGATAAATGATGATCAATATGACCAACAAACTGAGGTATGGGCACAGACATGGACCCATCAGCTTTACGACGTTTGATGGTGATTTTCAACTTCTTTGCTCGTTCTGCAAGTTTTTTTCGTTGGAGCTTAGTAAGGGTGCGATACAAAGAAGGCAGCCATGACCTTGGAACGCACTGCTCACTAAACTTTTGCAGGTGGAGAAGCTTCAACACTACACCCCTTGGCTCCCAGCACTGTTCCCCAGCAGCGGCTCGGCTTTGGACTGGGACTACCCCAGGTACCCATCCAACTTGGCCGGAAGAGGGCATGGGAATCACGCAAGGTTCTATATAGATTAGATTTCCATCAAACCATTTTTCAACCATCAATTTGTTTGAGTTTCTGACAAGAACTGATCCTTCCAAAAGGATCCCAAGTGCTCGTTGATGAGCTTCCCAGTTCGAACCAAATCGGGGAAAAATTTCATCGTTGATGATGCCGGTTGTTCCAAAGAAACCAGTACTCCTCTGCAAGTGGCCAAAACCACAAGTAGAAGGGCTCGTGCAGCAAGCCTCAGTTGTATAGATCAGCCATCATATCTATATATTTATGGTTCGTCCCCAATTACATAAGAATGCAGACAAATCAAAGAAAAAAGTAAAATCTATTGGCTCCTCCAAACCTCAACTAGGTGACAAGGACCCCATGTTGACATATGGTTTCTTCTGGTCCCCCAGTGGCTCATCTCGAGTGCGTCCATGTGTGTTTGAATTGATCCAAACGAAGCTTCCACATGGCGGCCCTAAGGTCATTAGGCCACCTGCGCGAATCCGCAAGCAGCCAAGTACTGCTTGGCAAAAGCCAGGCCTGAGCTTGGGCGAGGGATTGACATGTCTTTGACATGGTTTTTAATCTATTTCTTGGCACCAGACCCAGTAGCTAAGTCATTGATGGCACCACGGCTCGCCAAGTCGAAGTTCTCCCTGATTTTAAACACACATGGATGATCCATAGATCCATAGCACTAAGAAAGTGACTTATGTGTATTTGTGATTTACTTCTAGCACTTGTAACTGCAAAAACTAGCTGAGACTGCAGCGCGGAATGTCCACCATCACCTTTGAGTGGGCTCACAATTGTTGGGCTCAAGAATTCCAAACGAAATTAAACAAAGATTCCAAATCATAACAAGGGTATAGTTTGATTTGCCATGAGGCTCAGACAGAAGGCCTGGTAGACAGCACCAGCCCCACTAAAGACGTCGAAGTTTGTTAAGTCCTCAGTAAGAACAAAGTCTTCATTCAAGATTATCAAAGTTGCAGGGTTTCCACAGGTGAGATCCTGACCCTGTCGTAGTACTTGTAATTTTCCTCAGTCACCTTGTCGACGACCTCCAACCTGAATCGTGCAGTTTGCAACCACTGATGGATCCAAATGCTCTGTCTTAATTTGACATGAATGACCGAGTGCAAGATTGCAAAGAGGCATAACTATAATGTTTTCGACGTAGAGAGAAGCTGGTAGGCACAGCAACTATGTCACAATTCAAAGAGCAATAGATATCTTTCTAAATTTCGAAAGTTGTTGCAACTTGTACTGTTGCATGTTGAATTTGGTTCTAGCCAGTGCAAATTGCTGGCAGTGGCTTCTATTTTGTAAACATGCCACCACCAGCGGAAATCTAATTTGACTCCTCAGACTCATTTGTGACAAACTTCAAGATTTCACAAAAGCGACAGTCACATTCTGGAACATGTTGAGCATCAGTTCGAAAGTGCCAATCAGGAATCAGCACCCACTTGTTCCGGTAGTGGACCCACTGAGCAAGGGAGTATGGAAAATCATTTGCTGGTCGAATCCGCCTGGATCCAGTGACTCCTTTGGCTTCATTTTCAGAGTCTGTAGGGGCTTCATCTCTGGAAACCAAATCAGATATGTCAATGATGTTGCTATCATCCTCTGGTGCAACGACAGCCCCTTGACAATCATCATCTCTAGAAAAGCGGGTGCGCTTCGCATTTACATCATGGCTTTGGGACAAACCACGGGCCATTTTGTTTCGTCTATACACCATGGCCCCAAGAACGGTAGATGAGCCCTCTAGAAAATTGATCTGCAAAAGCTGCATCAGAATTCATAGCTATTTTGTGGTTCGTCGATGCTTGTGAAAATGCTTTAGTTCAACTGATCTCAATGACACAAAGACTATACAGTCATCCATGCTAGGCTCCAGACAAAGTCATCGGAGCTCCCAGAAACAGAGCCACTGTCGCAGCGCATGCTGTGAGGGCCAATGGGCTTTGACGCCAGGTTGGTGGCATTTTATCTGCTGGATCTCTGGCACAAGGCGTGAGCGAACAGAGATGAACAGAGCTGAGCCAATTGCTAGGTCAGGATGGTTCCATACTTCACAATTAATCCAAACCTCATTCAAGGTTCAAGGTAGTTGCACTGCAGGTCGGATGTGCATAGCGCATATTTCTCAAATTCCAATTCCACCACAAACCCAGTTGAATGATATTGATTGTGCATTTTTTCCAGCGTTCCCCTGCTGCAAAGATGGTTTGACACAAGATTGTGAGCTAGCTGACGCTCATGACAAAATGAAATCACAGCTTTCGTCACAATGATTCACAATGAGTCATGGGCTTCCTAACTTTCTACTCCATATATGGCCATGAGGTGTCTAGCTCTTTCGAGCACTTTTTTGTGCTCTCTCAAAATTAAGGTGCTGACCCGTTGTTCCAGCTCGGAGGGAACAAAAGAATTTCACTTCCTGGAAACTGTCCCTGCTCGTAGGGCCCAAACTGGGAGTGCTGCAGCCAATTGGCCAGGCATCTGGACAGGTGCCACCTAAGCCGGGTGTGGGATGTCTGATTGAGGGTTTGAG